ATGCCGTAAATTCATAAATGTGCAGGATTTATGTTAATGAATTCTAACTTTTACATGTTCTAAAAAAGAGAAGAGAAAAGGTTTTGTTTAAAACAATATCTATTACACAGAATAATGTAAATTTAAAGTTAAATTATGTAGATATACCTAGTAAAATGCTTCAAATTAGAATTTGGAGCTCTTGAAAGGGTTTTTAAAAAAGGTACAGAACAGTGGTCTACTAAATAGGTAAATGAATAATTTGCCCATGTTGCTGGACCAGCAATAACATTTGCCATTTTAACTAAATATTACTGTTATCATGATGTTGAGAAGAAATGATGGGTAGGTGACCAGAAATTTTAATTTTTAAAAATTTGTTTCAAAGATTAAAATGGGAAGAATTTAGAACTCTTCTCACTTTATCCTTCTTACTCCAAGGCCAGTTTGGCTATTTTAAACAGAAAATTCAACTACAAATTACTTCAGATAGTCAAAGCAAAGGGTTCTAGTGGTGAACAGAAGCAAATTCTTATAGTAAGGGAGTGCATCCTTTGCTGAAAGATTGCAAGACACGATAGAGGTCTCAGCCAAAAAAGCCTGGCAATAAGTTTTGCTGAGTTAGGGATAAATTGTAATAAACTGACTGAATTTGTTAGAGTTAGGATATCAGGTCCTTGGGGAATCTGATTTAGGGAAGGAGGAATCTGGTATATCCACTAGACTATAGAGTATAGAAGGACATGAAAAATGAATTGATTTTATAAATGAGATCATTGGAAGGGCAAGTTGAACAAAAACACATTACTGTGTGTTGTAATTACCATGATGCGAAAAAGGAATATGGTGCCTTGGTAATCTTTAGGAAAAGAATATATGGACTGATAACTTCATAGATATTTTCATTCCAACTCAATGCAGTTCAGTAAATTAATTGATAATTAAGGATTATATGTCAGATTGTCAATACATTTCAGCCCTATATGTTATTATGGGCAGTGTGATTGAACAGGTACCAACAAATTTGGCCTTTGAACAAATACTACTGGTACTTCAACTTGTTTATACTCAACATTAGAAGATTTTTCACCTCTTTGCACGAGAAATATGGACAATTTGATTGAAAATTTGATATTGACATTTGCATTGTGCTATCTTTCAGTTTCTTTATTCTTGCTTGTTTGAAAGCATTAAATGGATATTCAGGTGCTGTGATTTTAACACACAGAAAATAAGACCACAGTTTGCTTTACTCAACACATAACTTTAAAACACTCTGAAGAATCTGAATGGTTTCAAATATTGGACTAGATATTAAACAAGCCATAAAGTCAACATCATTATTTATCTCCATGCTATGATCAGTTCCACTGGTGGAATGTGTGTGTTTTTCAGTGCTTCTTGATTATATAGATTTGTCTCTATCACATCTGCTTTATCTGGTCATTTATAGAGAGTAAACAAAAGTTTTTTCCCAGTTTAAGCTTGTTAACATGCATAATTAAAAGACTAAGTGCATCCACTTTCAATCAAAATTACTGCAGATGCACTAGAAAGCCTCATATCTAATTTAAAAAAAAAAATAGCTGAATTTTTAGGTTCAGTGCTATTAAGAGCAGAAAGTCCTGATATGCAGCTTTAACTATGGCCTATATTTGAACAAACATGTGCATTGAGTTATGAAATCCTTAAGTTGGGTTCCTCTTTGAAAGCTTTCATTAAGCTCAGAGATTGTATGTGTAAACAGTGAAAAGACTGAGGTGTCAAAAGTAGTCCCAAGATTGCTTATCAAAAAGAGAAGATGGTGACACTCCTAGGATAATACTAAGAAAAGTTGTAGAGAGTATTTAAGATTACTGTTGTAATTCATGGTCCTTTTGATTTATGGCTTTGAATAAATTATTATTGGTTAACCTCCAGAAAATATTATCTAAGGATGTATCTTGTGCAGCTGAAGACGGCAATCAATACTGAACAGTTTTTGTTAAAAATCCTGTTAATGTTAAACCAAATACAAGGCTTTATATGTTGCAAGTTTACTTCATTTTTGAAAGAAGTTCAATGAATTAAAAAATGTGAACTCCCTTTAATGATCAAAAAATGAAACAAATTTGCTAAAGACATTATCAACTGCTCAGGAATACCAGAGGTGCTTAAACTGCATGTTAACACCATCCAGGGCATCCATCATTCCTCAGAGAGGTGATAATATCTAGAAACAAACCACCCATTTAAGTTTTTGTTTTGCTGGTGTCCAAATGACACAGTGCACATTTAAAAGGATGAGATATATTGTAAACCTAGGAAAGATTTTTGAAGACATTGTATTCCATAGTCTTATATACAACCAGTTATCTTTATTTTGGAAGTAATTCTTGTGTCAACAATTACATGAATATTGGAATTGACCAACATTTTCGTGTACCTTCAGTTGGCAAACAATTCTCCTAAATGAGTTTTATCACAAGCCCTCTACAAAAAGCTTTTTTCTGTATTCAATAGCATTGAGTGATAATATTTGTCAAGAACACTAAATAGCCTTAATCCTCGCATAAATAAAACCCAAAGACTAAGCCAGGGTGTTCAAAAAACCAACTCAAAAGGAAATCTCCATTGTTGTAGCCTTAGTTGTGTATTGGCCTCTTCTTGTGAAATCTTGTATGACAAAATTTTTGGCCTGAGTACAACATATTATGTCAAAAGTAGATATCATGATGAATGACATTATGTAATGTTTGAAAACTTCTGGACTATCTTCAGCATGCTCAGCGATCTATCAATGATGATTCTGTCATTTGATGTAACTATTAAGTCTGAGCTTGTATTTCATCTTCTTAGTTTAGTCTTCTGTAGACAAAATCATGGATCCAATGCATTTATTTTTCCCTTCAAGAAGATGATATACAAGTTATCAAATTATAGGATCAAATTTTTTTTTTAAATATGACATTGAAAATTGATTATTTTACTTTGTTCAGTTATTCACTTATTATAAGTTTACTCTAAAATTCCATGGTTAGTTTTTATTAAAACCCTTTTTAAAAAAATTGAATAATGATTAAAGAATTACATTCTGTATGAGAGGTGGACCTTTCCTTCCAAAGTATTGTTTGGTGAATTTCCTCTTATTAAATGCCATAAGAGGTATAACCAGCTCAAATTTGGTCTAATTTTAAGTGCAAATATTATGAAAAACATGTATTTGCAAATTTTTCTCACAAAATATGAGAATACTTTCCTTTCAGTGGTTCTATTGTGGTTTGGGAGTAACTTGACTTACCTAATATTAAGAGTATATTGTGAACATTGTACTTTTGTAACTGCCCTTTACACTTTTAGTTTTGCTTTCTGTTTTCCCACATTAAACTTCAATTTAAACAAATATTCAGTGGTCAGATTGTCTCCAACTTTTGGGCAGAATTATTTGTAACTATAATGAATTTTTGGACAGAATTATTTGTACATATATTGAATTTTTATGTGAATTAATGGTCAGAAAATGGACTACGTCACATTTTTTCCTTTCAATAAATTAAGACTAAATAATGTTTATTGATATGATATAGTGGCTCGGTTGGAGTTCATTGTAAAGTGTAAAGTATGTTCAACTCATCATCAAAGTGACAAAATATTAGTTAATTCATACTAGCATTATTGAAGAAGTCAACACTTGTAAAGTGATATTTATAAAAATGTATATGAGCAACTAGGTGCTAAATGTGTTCTTGTATTGAAAATCACTAACGCACAAAAAAAAGTTATGGATTCATTAAATTTCAAAGAATATCTAATTGATTTAACTAATATTCTATTTTATGTTGTGATATATAGAAATTCATATTTGCTTACAAATGAAATGATAGAGATTGAAATGAAATAGCATTTAATATATGTATCATAAAAATAATATGAAATTCCATGAAGTATTGAGAATTCCTTAACCTTCTGCATGAGAAAGTGATACTATCTTCCATTATGCTGTATTGCAGTGCTTTGATATAGCTCTAACATCTGAATGGTCATATAACCATGTTTGAGCCCTTTTTTCCCAATAAATCCATGCTATCATTGAAATTAATGATTAGTTTAGGTGAAATTCTTATTTTGTACTTGCAGGCATTCCACTAACTTAACAACCCAAGTTGTATTGACACATTTGTAATAAAGGTCCAGGATTCTAATCCTTGACAGAGAGAAAAGTGGTCCAAGGTTTTAAGAAATTGGACCAGCTTTAATATTCTTCAAGACTTCCTGAAGACCAAAAATGCAGCAGATTTTGCAATGTCATTCATGTCTTAGCAATTATTTCCCAGCTGATATGCATTTCCATCATGGGGGTATACGGAATTAAATTTTAAAAAAAAAACATAACCATTCATTTTAGTAACTGAAGAGTCAAATCATAATGCAAATAGTTTTCTTGCAAATATGATTTTAATGATATGTGTATTTCTCATTCTCCGAGATCCTTTTCATGGAAGGTCTGTGTAAATAAAAGTGTGTGAATGAATTGAAGTGGGTAGATTGTCATTTCTGAAACCCGACAGATTTTAATTGCCCGAGTGTAAAAGTAGGTAACTTATGAAGTGTAATTAGCAGGGTTTTATTTCATGGTGAATGAGTTAGCAGTTTCTCTTTGAGTTGATGCGTCTCCCTTTCAAGTGGGAATTGTCACAGTAATTGCCTTGCACTGATATGCAAGTAATTTTTGATGCACTGAAAGCATTCTTTTGTTAGGCATATTCATTTCTAATTACCTTATAGGTGACAAATCTAATTATCTTTACATCTACCAATGTTAATTCAATAATCCATTTATTTACTGTCATTAAAGGGGAGTACTGTGGGGATTCTTCAAAATGAAGATAATTTTCCTTTATTTCTTTCATCTTAATTGCAGTTATGCTTGACAATGTAAATAATATATTGAATATGCTGTTAGAATGCATTGACTATATGCCTACAGTTTATGAGATTTGTTTAAAATTGAGATGAATTAATTCTGATTCTTTTTATTGCAGAGATCTGTCGAATAATGACATAGAAGAAGTGCCAAGAAATAACATATCATTTTTGACGAACTTGCAGGAATTGTAAGTGTTAAATACAATGTTTAAGCATTGAATGATTATAATTTGTACCTCTCAGTGTCATCGATTAAATTTGCATACAAATAAAATAATTAATACATGTTAGGGAATTACACACCTTTGTGCCATATAGGACCATGAAGTATTAAAAATCATCATTTTATCAATAATTTCTTAACAAAGATACATGTTGATGAGAGCAATTTTACTGTGTCATTGCTATTTGACCCTGTCCTTTAGCATGAATTTGACCTTCCCTATGACCTTGAAGCTTTTTTCTGATGTTATAATTCATACTACATTGAAAGATATTTTTGGTGAGGACAAATTCCACTCTATCAAAATTTTATGACCTTAACCATCCCTATGATCTTAAGCTCAATATCCCTTGTTTACATTTACCTTACTTAATTACTGCAAAAATTGACATCTCTGTTTATAAGGAGAATCTGCATATTATATGATTTTTTTTATGGTCTTTGAAACATTTCGAATTCAAAGTGCCTGTGTATTTCAAGTACAATTGAAGAGAAATTGGACTTGAAACAATGAGACCTTTTTTTTAGCTGTTAGATGGATGGGATGAATTAACAATAAATACCATATACAATGTACTGCAAAAGACAACCCCTGTACTAATAGATCAGTTCTGTATATTATATGAAAAAAAATTGAAAATTATTCCTTCTCTTATCATTTTATCATATTTATGCCCCTCTTCGAAGAAGGGAGGGCATATTGCTTTGCTGCTGTCTGTCAGTCAGTCTCTCTGTTGGTCCACCAACAGTTTCTGTTCATTTTCTTTGCAGAGGTTACATATACTGAAATGAAATTTGGTATACAGATTTATCATAAGAATATCTAGGTCAAGTTCTGTTTTATGATCGAGCAATTTTTGACAGAGTTATGCCCCTTGGACTTAGAAAAATTCCAATTATTTGCAATTTCCGTTCATTTTCTTCGCAGAGGTTGCACATACTGAAATGAAATTTGGTATACAGATTTATCATAAGAATATATAGGTCAAGTTCTGTTTTGGGTACTATCAAGAAAACCCTATAATGTTTGTCCAGGGGGGGGGGGGGATAAGTGTTTCACAAATATCTCTTGTTTACTATAGACTTTGTCTGGCTAGCTCAGACAGAATTAAGACACAAGTTATTATTTTATTTGTATGCAAACCAGTGGCACTTGAGGTACAACATTTGTTTCCCGTCACAATACTAATGTACCATTGGGCGAGGAATTCATGTCTTGTGGATAAATTAGTTGTTCTGTTTATATGATTGTGATGCCATGTTTGCATGTCACGGCCATCTGAATAGCAGCTATTGTAGTTTATAAGTAAAAACAAGTGGAATATTAATATTCAGTATTGGAAGTACAAACCTCATAATTATTTCATAATGTTCCATTTTTGAAAAATAAATTTTTCTGTTTGCAGAAGCCTGCGGGGGAATAATATCTCTATCATGGAAGATAATACTTTTGATGATTTAGAAGAATTAGAAGTATTGTAAGTATTATGGACATTGATAATTATTTACTCTCAAGCTTAAAGTGAAAAATACATGTACCAGTCTGTAAAAATTTTTTTAGTTTTAAAAATTATATCATCAATTGCAGAGATTTATCATCCAATCACATCACACAGTTCCCAGATGACTTGTTTGAATCACCCAACATCATCATTAAACATTTGTGAGTAGTGAGGTCAAGTTATTGCATAAGTTAATTGTATTAATTCTGTTTAAGCATTCAGTGGTACATTATGTGTATATATGATTTCAAGTCATTAAAATGTAAATACCTTGTTAACAAGAAACTGAACAGTAATATATAACAGTAGAACACTCAAATTTGTGATGATAACTTGAATGTTATACAAGTTTTTTACTTCAATTTCAGAAATATCAGTCACCTACAATTAACCAGTATTAAGGAAAGTTTTCTAAGAAAATTAAAGGAAATAGAAGTCCTGTAAGCATTCATCTCTTAGCTTTCTTTAGTTCTTTATCATTATCAAACATGAGAGTGAAGGAAATTGTTCTTGTAATTCTATCTAGCAGATTTCCTACTAGAATAATCTACAGAAAAAGAATAAGTTATTTCTTGTTTTATCAGTTGATAAGTCAACCACAATAGTAAAAAAGAGGTGATATTTTTTAGCTCACCTCGACGAAGTCGAGATGAGCTTATGCTATACCCCCGGCGTTGGCGTCGGCGTTAGCGTCGGTGTCCTGGTTAAAGTTTTAGGAGCAAGTCCCATTCCCAAGTTACTATAAGCCCTACCTGGACCAAACTTGCATGGATGATGCATCTAGAATGGACACTGCCACACTTGCTTCGGATGCTGGATCTGACCTAGATTTTCCAGATGAGTGACCAGGTTAAAGTTTTTGGAGCAGGTCCATTCCCAAGGAACTATACGCCCCACCTGAACCAAACTTGTATGGATGATGCATCTAGGGATGGACACTACCACACTTGCTTCGGATGCTGGATCTGACCTAGATTTTCCAGATGAGTGACCAGGTTAAAGTTTTTGGAGCAGATCCATTCCCAAGTAACTATACGCCCTACCTGGACCAAACTTGCATGGATGATGCATCTAGGGATGGACACTACCACACTTGCTTCGGATGCTGAATCTGACCTAGATTTTCCAGATGAGTGACCAGGTTAAAGTTTTTGGAGCAGGTCCATTCCCAAGTAACTATAAGCCCTACCTGGACCAAACTTGCATGGATGATGCATCTAGGGATGGACACTACCACACTTGCTTCGGATGCTGAATCTAATCTAGATTTTCCAGATGAGTGACCAGGTTAAAGTTTTTGGAGCAGGTCCATTCCCAAGTAATTATAGGCCCTACCTGAACCAAATTTGCATGGATGATGCATCTAGGGATGGACACTACCACACTTGCTTCGGATGCTGAATCTGACCTAGATTTTCCAGATGAGTGACCAGGTTAAAGTTTTTGGAGCAGATCCATTCCCAAGTAACTATATGCCCTATCTGAACCAAACTTGCATGGATGATGCATATAGGGATGGACACTACCACACTTGCTTCGGATGCTGGATCTGACCTAGATTTTTCCAGATGAGTGACCAGGTTAAAGTTTTTGGAGCAGGTCCATTCCCAAGTAACTATAAGCCCTACCTGGACCAAACTTGCATGGATGATGCATCTAGGGATGGACACTACCACACTTGCTTCAGATGCTGAATCTAACCTAGATTTTCCAGATGAGTGACCAGGTTAAAGTTTTTGGAGCAGGTCCATTCCCAAGTAACTATACGCCCTACCTGAACCAAACTTGCATGGATGATGCATCTAGGGATGGACACTACCACACTTGCTTCGGATGCTGAATCTGACCTAGATTTTCCAGATGAGTGACCAGGTTAAAGTTTTTGGAGCAGATCCTTTCCCAAGTAACTATAAGCCCTACCTGAACCAAACTTGCATGGATGATGCATATAGGGATGGACACTACCACACTTGCTTCGGATGCTGGATCTGACCTAGATTTTCCAGATGAGTGACCAGGTTAAAGTTTTTGGAGCAGGTCCATTCCCAAGTAACTATACGCCCTACCTGGACCAAACTTGCATGGATGATGCATCTAGGGATGAACACTACACACTTGCTTCGGATGCTGAATCTGACCTAGATTTTCCAGATGAGTGACCAGGTTAAAGTTTTTTGAGCAGGTCTATTTCCAAGTAATTATAAGTCCTTCTTAAACCAAACTTGTATAGATATTGATCTTGGGATGTACACTAACTAGAAAAAATATGATGTGAGATTTGCCTTATTTATAGATAACCTTCGTCGAGGTGAGCTTCGTAATCTTTGATTACCTATGTTTTATTTTTAGTGATGCAAGCTACAACAGAATTGACCGCCTGTCTTCCAACTTGTTCAATAAAAATGACAAAATACAATTATTGTAAGTATTTTCTCTGAATTATCTTTGCTATGTATTGGTTTGAAATTGCTGTTAAAAATGACAATTAGAAGCTTTGCTAAAGAGATTTTCAGCTGTTATAATGTCTTTATGTTTTTAGATGAATCTATTGAAGGTGTTTAAGATGTGTTTGTGATTTGTTTTGGTTGGTTTTTTTTTTAAGAGCATAAATATCAGCAAATGATCTGCTTTGAACAAGGGAGGATAGAATGCACATTGTAGAAAGATCAAGTTTCCTATTGGACAGTTTGAATTTCTTTCTTTATTTGATTTGAGGAAGCATTATAAATAACCATTCCCTTAATTTTATAGATTGAAATTTTATGGAATGTTTCATCCATCTTCCTTTGCTAGTCTACATGGGAAGCACAGGAATGTTTTGCAATGAACTTCTTATTATTAGGGCCCAGAATTGAATTGTGGATGACCTATAGAGATCATGTAAATGCGTATCTGCATGCAATATACATAACATGTGCAGAGAATTGTTAAAGGAAGACACCTTCAGTTTTTGAGGTCACAAGGTGAAAGGTAATGTTACAAAAAATAGGTCAAGGTCAGAAATTACACACACTGAACTGCTGCAATTAATAAGCTTTTTTAACCTGCAGACTTCATTTTGATTTCAGTCGTGGAGAATGATTAAAGAAAGATATGTCTGAATTTTAATGTTCATTAGTGAAAGGTCAAAGGTTGAGGTTCTTGATGTGATCATTGTGATACAGTTGTGCAGTTTTGATTTTTTCTGCATAGTTGGAGAATGGTTTGGAATAAACAAAGGTCAAGATTACTTGTATGAGCACACTGGCTTTTTATGAATATCCCAGTTTTCTAGTTCAATGCTCGTATTTAAATTACTTGATTACAAAAAAAAAAATAATTACATACTGCACAGTGGTTTTATTTATGAGCAAGAATTGATCTGTGCTATTTGTATAATAAGCTTACTGGCATACATGAAGTAGTGTTTTATGTTAATAATCACACACTTGCATTTATAGTGTAGTTCAATTAATGATACAAATGGCACACTAATGTATTGTGCAACCTGCATTTTGCCTTTTGATCTCGGAATTGTAGCAAAAATGAATAAATCATTTACCGTATATCAGAAAATTGTGCAAGGATTTTCTTCTTTGAATTTATAGCATTGTGTGTAATTTGAATTGATGATACTATTAAGCCCAAGAATTAGACTAACTAGTATTAAAAAAAAATTGTTTAAATTAGTCCAATTAAAATGTTACCATGAAACAAAACTCCAAACTAGTAAAATTTAAAAAAAAAAAAACAGTCTTAATACAGCAATTTATTCCTGGGAGCTTACACTTTTAAGTTAAAATATTTTGTTCTTATTTGTAACAACTTACTAGCTATTATTTTACCATTCAATGTAAATTCCAGCAAAATGAGTAATAATGATTTGGTGTCTGTGGACTTGAGGCGATTTCGAAAATATGTATCGTCTATGTAAGTAATTCAACAACAGACTCCCCATATTCTCTTTTTCTTATTTTCGTTTTGCTTATTAGATGTTTGGTAGATTTTTAAATATATATGCTTTTTTTCTTTTAGATGTTATGTAGCTTTTGCGTCTTTAATAACTTTTGTATATTAAAATATATACGTGTAATTTTTTATTTAATTTTTCAGTCAGAGTTTTGAAGATTAAACTTAATTTACTTAATACATGTAATAATGCAATGAAGAGGAATTGTGTAAATGCTCAGTAATAAAAGGAATAGTGCATTTTTCATTAATAAGTAGTCAGAAATATTTATACAGATATACATTAAAATTTCCTCGGGGAGTAGATTTGAATGCCAGTGCACATTTGTCAACATAGGCAACTGTTTTTTTTCTCGGAATAAATGAGTGGCTAGAATTTTGTAAATGTCCCAGTTGACATGAATTATGAAAGTTTTTTTTCTGACCATAACATTACAAACAAATAAAATAAAACAAGTTCATTTGTTAATTCACAAAGCATTACATTTTGATAAAATAAATGTTTTGAGATTATCTGTTTTTACATGACCAGCAGAGGTTTAGTTTGGACTGAAGTATGGAATTATAGAGTTTGATAATTTTTTAAAAAATAAATTGTATCTATCATTTTGTTTTACGCACATTCAAGAGGTTTTTTAGGTTATAGTTTTTTTCTAATAAAAGTTATAATAATTGTTAATCTTTACTTGAAATGTTAGTGCAGATTAACTTTCTTAGTTGTCATTACATTCTTCGTTGTTGGAGATGGTAATGTTGATCACTTCCCTGTTAGAGGGGAAAATGAATCTTTAACAACTGTGTCAAAAGGGAGATTAAGTTTTATATAGGGTCAAAATCTTTGGTTAATAGTATCGAATGAAATTCAGTTTATTCAATATATAAATTTGCAATATGCATATACACTGAGTGAGGACAGCTAGCAATCTAAGCTGCTACAAACCCTCTCCCTAATCAAGAACCATCGAATAAGTTAATTCTTGCTGTGGATTCTCAATTTTCTTATTTTTTTTAAAAAGTCAGCAATTTAGTACATAGAATTATTTTTAATAAAAAATTTCACGACCTCAGAATTAGATTGCTAGATGTAGCTTTTACTTTTCCTTTTTCTCAGAGGAAGATAATGTATAATACTCAGAAGTTCCTGTTGTCGTACAAACTTCATGTATCTAACAACTTATGCCTTTATGCTGTGTAGTGTAGCTGTATCTTCAACATTGCTTTATGTATTTATTATAATGAATATTGGTAAGGTAAACTTTCATTGTTATTCCAACAGTTTAATGGTGCTGCATTTCATCTGTCATCTAAATTGTCCAATGCAATTAAGGACAAATGATACAAACAAAAAAATGGATACCTATATATTTTTGGATCTATTTTGGTTGTAAATGATGCAAATAATGTCTAAAATAGTAAGAAATTGTAAACTTTCTATGATGTTCAAAAATCAAAATTCTACCTTTCTGCAACCATCCTTATTAATCTATACAACTTTTTGTCATTTCAAATCCCATTATTGCAAAAATTTGAATGAAAAATTAAAAACTGTAGTTACTTTTTTTTCATTTTACTTGTATAAATATGACTTAAGTAGTATTTTCAAGATTTCTGATAAAAATTTGCTTGTATCATCTGTCCTTGAAACCCATTACAGAATATAAATTTTGGAATATACTATGAAATAATTATTTTGAAAAAGTCCTTTTTTGTTTTGTTTTTTTCCCAAGTACTATTGATGACCCAATCTGAAATACTCTGAAAAAAAAAAACTTGAAGAAGAAAATTTTTAATTGTGTGCACAATGGGGGAAAAAAAATCCACCACAACATACCTGCATGTATTATTACTTGTACAAACTTTAAGTGTACTGTGCTTTTCTTTTAAAAGTCCATTCATTCATTCAGAAAAACAGAAACATATGAAGATTTTTTTTGTCAACCATATTTAAGTTTATATTTGTATCATTGATTATTTTTGTTCACTGTTTTCATTTGAATACATTTTAATGTTAAAATAGTTGACCATTAATATATACCATCTTGTAATGATCTTGTTTGTATTAATGTGAATAGGTAATCATAACTTCACTGAATCTTGTTTCAGATGGAAAATGTACCAATTTTCTGTGAGAGTAAAATCTAGTTTAACTACCGTACTTTTTTGAAAGTTCTGAAACCACAAATATGATACCGCTTTCCATCAAGCAGATGAAGACTAATATAGTAAACCAATCTTATCATGATTTTCATGAAAAGTTATTGTTTTCTTTCAGAGATCTTTCCTACAATAAGCTAACAAGTATAGAAGCTTCCCACTTCATCACTTCTATTTTACAACTGTAAGTAGAACATTTTTAAAAACAAAACTTTAGTAGAAATTAAAAAAAACATAAATTGTAATCAGTATCAATTTCAGATTATATTTTTAAAATGTATCCTATTTCATGGATTTATAAATTTTTCATAAGATTTTGATGGCTATAAAAAATATTGACTGTAAAAATTTATCAGTGTTTAGAGTAAGTGGGTAGTAAAAATTTGCTTTTACTTCAGTGATCTGACAGGGAATCTAATAAGCAGTGTGGATCCTTCTGTTCTGGATCAGCTGCCAAATCTGCAAAATATGTAAGTTAATGTTTGAGTAAAAACAGAAACATACATATATACGTATTACAGACACTTGCTACAAAGAAAAAAAATGGATGCGGTCATGCATTGATAGATATATATTTACATTTCCAATGTCTTTGTCTGAGATAAAACTACTACTAATAAAAATACTTTATTTCTACATAAATCTACCAGTTCATCGATCGGCGTGGTTAAAAATAAAATCACGTGCCTGGCGGGACAAATAGAGACAGAAGCGGAGCTTGTAGCACGTGAATTTGCGGAATCGAGAGCATGTAAATATAAGGAATAACTGTCAGATTTTTTGGTTTCATGACGATGATCAATCGATTGGTTTGTGTGATAATTTTATGCATAAACGCCTTCAGCATTATGCAAATTATCACGCAAGCCAATCAATTGATCACATCATGAAACCAAAAAATTAGACAGTTATTCCTTAAATATATTTTCAGCTCATTTAAGCTGAAATCTCAAGTGAAGTTTTCTGTCTGGCATTTGTCTTAATTTAGCTGTCTGTCTGTCGACCTGTAAACTTTTCACATCATTAATTTCTTAAGAACCACTGGGTGAATTTCAACCAAACTTGCCACAAAGCATCCATGGGTGAAAGGAAAGTTTGTTCAAATGAAGGGCCACACCCTCTTTTTGAGGGGAAGTATTAAGAATGAGTGAAAATTCAATGACATTTTTTAATTAAAAATCTTCTCAAGAACCACTGGAACAGGAAAGATGAATCTTATGTGAAAGCTTCCTGACATAGTGTAGATTCAAATTTGTTCAAATCATGACCCCATAATGGTAGGGTGGGGCTACAATAAATGATCAGAATTTTACATATGAATATATAGGAAAAAAATCTGAAGAAGAACAGCAGAGCCATGATTACTCTAATTTATAAATACATGTATGGAAGCTTCCTCAGGTAATGTAGATTCAAGTTTGTTCAGATCATGACCAACTGAGGGAGGGGGTGGGCAAAAATAGGCAATCAAACTTTTACATAGGAATGTAAAGGAAAAAATCTTTAAAAATCTTCGTAGGAAAGGGTAGCCATGACTAGTCATACTAATATGTAACATCCACAAGTAGTTAGATTTAATTTTTTTCAAATTATGACCCTCAGGGGTGTGGTGGGGCTACATTAGGGGATTAGAGTTTAACAAGGGCATATATAGGAAGAAACTTTCCAAGAGACCACACTAAATCATGTTAATAAGCAAAATATACATAATTTGTGTGGAATCATTTTTTTTTTTAATTATTATTTTGAGACCTGTGGTTAGGGTTGGGCCAAAATCAGAGATCGATATTTTACATACCGGTAATGCAAAAAGGTCTTCCCCAGAACAGCAGGGCCCTGTTGATCATATTGATATTGAAGCATCCCAAAGATTGTTTAATTAATGATTAAATCTTAGCTCAATTAGGGCACTTTGACATATCCATGGCATTCAAGATATTGAAGTTCAACTGTATAAACAAAGAAATAGTATGTATTTTCATGAGTTTGAAAAAAAAAAAGTTTGTAGCAAGTGGCCTTAAATGCTCTGTACTATTTATATGAGTACCCATTAGTTTATGCTGTTAATCATTGCAACAAAATAGTAGACTGCTATGCTATCCCTCATATTCTTCCAAGATAAGACAGATTTTCTTTTTTTGGTTATGTCAGCATTGCACATGTTGCAAAAATAATATAATTTACAGTGTTTTCCCTAAGAACCGGCTACCAGCAAAATTGACCGATTCAATTGCTAAAAATGCCGCTTTGAAATAAAAAAAAAATTGAAATTGAATTGTTGATTTGTCATAAACTTCGACCCAAAGCCTGTTACAATTGATCTCTAACCCTTTACTTTGAAATAAAGGGAAAACACTGAATTTATGACTTTTTAAAATAAAATGCAACTCTGAATTGCAGAAGTTTGGCAGGAAATCCTTGGGAATGTACATGCAGCCTCAAAGATTTCCACGATAAACTTATCCAGCTGGAAACTTCATCCGGACTCATTCTAGTCGACAAATGGAATATTAGGTGTAGCAATCTGGATGTGCCCATGTTCAATCTGACAAACACAGCACTCTGGTGTAAGTATCTAGCAATCACATATGGGTACAGAATTTTAAATTGTTTTCACAGATTTAAGAACAATTTCATTTTCTTTTAATATAATTGGAAAATTAATTACTTTTCTATTTGCATGTTGACACTGATATAAATGATTTGAGTGTGGATTTCCTTGAATTCCTTAATTATGCTATTAGAAAAGAAAACACAGTTTTGAAAATAAAGTCCATTATTCGTTATTAATGTAATCTTATAAATTGATGACATTTTCATTATTTTGAATGCAAAAAAAATTCAAGGTTATTCACATTTAATTTATTTCTGAATGCCATACTAAAATTGCATGTTGGCACCAATATTGGCACCAATTTGCCATGCTTGATATATTAAGTTCTTTCTTGGAGTACATTTATTTATTTTTAGAATATCAATAACCAAGATTTAAATAAGCACATTTTTTTATGTAGATATCTTTTTATTAAGTTGCTGTCTTCTCATTTTTTTTTTTAATTTAAATTATTTGCTTATCCTAGAATGCTTTATATGGTCTTTGAATATAATTATATAAGGTACACAGTAGAAAAATGACACATTAATCTTTTTTTAATTGTGCAAATTTAGGAAATGCATGCAACCATTAATTGTTCTTGACAGATTTTACAATTGAACTCTATTTGAATTTATGTGAATTTTTAGCATGTCTTTGCAAGAAAAAGCAAAATCCTGCATCATGCCTGGCCAAACAGTGGCCCAAAATTAGATCAAAACGTGCCCCTGGTAAGGAGGTGTAGGGCGGTTTTGTACTGTGACCATTTCACCCCTGCTGCTTGAGCTCTTTCTATTCCTGTCATATACATAAGCCCCAATAGAGTTTGGAACCAACTCTTCTTGTGTGCTTCTTTCATTTGTGTAGAAAATAACAACAAATAAACTACTCAATTCTGTGAAAAGTTGTATATTCGAAATTAATATCTTACATCCACAAGACATTTTTAATATGTCAGATAAGAAGCATTTGTAGGGAGGCATCAATATGCTGAGAGACTTGCAGGTCTTTCAACATTGTTCAAAGAAAGTACATTCATGTCACCTTATGATTTTTCTTGTATCAATTTTAGTGACAAAATGTCAGTACACATTGCGTTTTGTACCTCGTCAGCGGCGAAAATTCCAGAAAAGCTACCAAAAATATTTAGTAATGCACTCTCGAAAAAAGCGTTCAAGTGGTAAGATTTTAAAACACAACTAATAAAGGAAAGAGAGGTATTGGGTGATATTTCAATCTACCACACTTCACCTTTTTCACCTTTGCCCCTTCCCCCCCAGTTTTCATGGTTTTTTCCCAATCATGCACCAACCAACATAAAAATGAAATTTCTCTAACATTTTTAATGAGATGACATATATTTATATATATTTCTATATAGAAATAATGAGATAATTACTTTTTTCATTAATTCAAAGTTATTTACACAATAATGAATGATGAATTGAATACGGACATATATTAATAATAAATTTTAAAAAAAAAAAGGTTTCCAAAAAGTGCATAATCTCAGTTTTTTATTTTTAAAAAAGTATTTTTATTATCCTCCTGGTAATTGACTTTAAAGGATTTGGGGATGATTTCAGATTTATTGTGTTTGTAAAATACAAGTGTGGTAGACTTGAAATGCACAAGCAAATAATTGCATGGCCTGGACAGTTTTGGTTACTGTGGCACAAAAACAAAAAAGAATATAAGCATTTTCACACTAATTTCTGATTGGCTGATTGTATTTGGTTTTATGCAGGCAGCAAAATCTCATCGATAATATAGCATTAATCTCTGATTGAAGTTATAACTATGAAAATTATTGAAGTCTGTGATTGAACATTGAAAATTCCAAATATCCATGTGCTATTTTTATGAGTGTGAAAATGTTTTCAAATAAATTTTAGGGTTATTACTGACATGGGTGTTTGGTTTAAGTTATTCTGGGGACTTTGGAATATGTACCTGTCTGTGCATTTAAGATGTGGAACATAACGGGTGGAAGATATATATGGTTGCAATAGTTTAAGGAAAATATCATTACTTGATTTTTTTTCAGGACTTAAAATAATCATTATACTCAAATTTGAAAAAGTAAATGCATAGATAACTGGCTATCTTATAGGTGGTGGTAAAAATGAAAGAAATTGGACACTGTCATGAGCTTAATTTGTTCATTTAAAAAACAAACATACACATAATTTATTTAGCAGCAACCAAAAAACAAAACAAGCAAACAAACAAAACAAAACAAAAAAAAATTGAAGAAAATCAGATGCTCAATTTGATACAGACATAAATTTGAGTGTTATTTTCTGCATTTAGTTACACAAATTGTAATTTAGTTTATAGAACTTAGAATTTTGTTTATAATGTCAAATATTTTGCTTTAACATTAAAAAGGCAGTTTATACACTAAAGCATGGAAATGCCTTTGGCACTGCAACTTTGAGCTGAGCGTTATTTTTTTTTCTTTTTGCTGCAGCTGACAAACTAACACTGCATTTTTCTGGATGAGTGAAATATACACTTAAGTAAACACAAGCATATTATAATGCATCCTCGCAGCATCACAAAAAGCTTGCTTATTCCTAAGTTATTGCTAGTTTTATATAATATTAAAAATGAATTTCCACATTACATCTGAATCAGTGAATCAAAGTTTATGATTTGCTTAACATTGACCTTTCACAGAAACTTATCTTCATGCAGCTTTTAACTCATTTCGCATTAATCTGTGTTAAATTGCATCTAACAGCTTTGTATGTTTTTGTCTGCAAAACTAATCCTTTCCCTGGGTGCATCTTCATGGATCACCTGTCGGTATAGAACTGTTCCATCCCCGTCTTATCTTTGTTGATGTTTAATACTTTGTTGTTTAACCCAGTGTGCTTTTATATTTAACAATTTAACAGTGGTGGAGTGCAGACATAGTAAGTCCAAAAGAGACACCCGGAAACGACCGTGTGGCTCCACCATTCACCGTGGGTGTGCTGGTGAGTCCTCAGTCAACGTAGACAGCTACTCAAGTGTTAATATTCTCCTGCATTCCATTAAAATCCCCTGGGTCCAGATCTGGGCAACATTTGAAACAACCTCTTTGTGTTGTTTTTATTTTTTGTATTACATGTAGGTACATGTATTAGAAATTCATGCATGTTGAAAACTAGATTACTACATATTAGAGTAGAAATGGAATGAGGAGAGGGATACAGTATATGTTAAGTGATAGGACTGTGCCTCATTTTTTTTTAGGTTTGTGCATAAGTTTTAATTTAAAATCCTGGGTATTACCCTCCGGTATTAAAAGATTGACATTTTGTTTAAACACAGATGAATTATTTACATTATCCAACAAAATTTTGACAAATGTAAAAAAAAAAAAAAAAAAAAAAAGTGATGAACAAGATCAAGTCATAAAGGCCTCATTTTTTTTACCTTATTATAAAATTACTCTCATTAAAAAAAAATATGTATGGCCTCATGGTGTAGAGTTGTCTCCCTTTGAATTTGCATTTTGGCAAATCATTTGTGGTCTTCTTTTCAGCATGCATATCAATATCTAAAATTTATGTATTTTTCTGATTTTAAGTCTAAATGGATTAATCATTCTTTTTTAAAGTTTAACTTAAAGTTTTAAAGTTTAAATTTTAGCTCTTATCACAAATAAAAATTTAAACAAATTAAACTGTTGATTTACATTGTTCATTCTAATTATCAAAAATGCGGAAATCGACTATGCCCCAAAACTTGATCCTTTATATCACTTACCAGATAAAGCTTTTGATATCACCTCAAACTTTGATGGCTATAGGTCCAGTATTATTAGAAGTTTGTGCAAAACTGCTTAATGTGTGACTTGTGTGACATATATCTGATCAAAGCTTCAAACTTGGCTAGCATTGTGACATTGATGACTGTGTTATTTATATGTAATGTGTGCAAGTTTGTGCTTTGCATAAGTTTTTGCATGGGAATCCCATTTCTTTTCAAGCTCAGTGGCAAATATTGCACCATAGCTTTATTATAATTTTGCAAGCGTCAAAGTGAATGCATTTTTACATAACCTCCGCTGCTTGAAGCGCATATAAATTGCTGATAAATTGTCTGCTTTGAATGTTGCATAATAAGAGGTGTTCTAAGTGGATAACCTTGACAAGCACCATCATTTACTAACAAAGAAAAATTACTTATCTTCATTGCAGTGGTTAGTTTTAGAATTCAAATATTATGACAAGTTTATGGGTAATAACTAATAATAATACATGCAAGTACGAAGTAGAAAGCTCGAGTTCCTTCTGTAACATTTTGGCAAAAAAATGGAAATCTATTTATTGTAGAGTTATTCCTTAAAGACTATTCAAGTTTGACATTATTACAGTTTGTGGAGGACAAAAAAAAGCCTGACTGTTTGGCACACAACATAAAAAAAGAGAAAAAATGTACATATATTGTGTATATTTCGAGACATTTTCTGAAACATACATTGTAATAAAAAAGTTTTAGTAAATGAGTGATGGCTTAATGTAAGTAATTTTTTTCACTGCACAATAATTTTTTTTTTAAATTTTCTGATTATAGGATAGAAGTATAATGTGCACTATATTCATTTTTTTTTTTTTTTTTTTTTTTCTGCAAGCTAATCACAAAGATTTATTTTCAGTTATTAATTTGGTCACAAATCACAAGCACAATTAAAATAACTAAAACTAAGAATTATATTTTTCAGGAGTTGAAATGTATGGATTGATATGCATATATATTTTTAATTGCATACTTTGAATATTAATTTGGAAAATTGTGAAGAAATGCACATGTAATTCTTAACTGCCATATAAATTTTATGTAACAAACCAATTTTTCCTCAATATTTTACTTAAATATTTTTCATAATTTGCACTTTGATTAGATTTAAAATGAATAATTCTTTTTCTACGGATTTTTTTTTGGTCAAAGTTACAAAGTATTATTGATCTTTTAAAATCTAACGAGAAATTTCCCTGTGCTAGGATATTTATGTGAATCTTATAGCTCACCTAAAGTAAATTTTTCTAGGCCCTGGTTCATTTGCCTCTTGTTATGATGACACAGAAGAGGACAGGAAAGTTCCTGTAATATTTTCATCTAGTGCCACAACATCTGATGTTCAAGAATGTAATGAAAACTGCTTTGACAACAATGCCACATATGGGGTAATCACTTCATCTGTGTGTCTATGTGGTAATGAGTTGCTAAACTATGGAGATTGCTATTGTACCATCAAAGCTTATAGTGAAGGAGACAATATCCAATGCTCAGGGTCAGCAGGTACCATCACAAAAACATATGCCAGTGGTGTGTTCCAAGTGCACAGTGGGCTCAAGTTTGATCAAGTAGGCACCATCACTGCAGGCCAGCAGTATACCTTCACAGCCCGTGTTAGTCTGAGGACCATAACTTCTTACACATGGAGTTTTGGAGACACTGCCATAACCCAGACAAAGATGGTGTCCCTGCAGTATTGTTCCAACAGCTATACCTATCTTCTACCAGGAACCTACACTCTGACTGTGAGGATTCTGTCCACTCAGGGAGGATACTCCTCAGGATCTATCACTGTGGATGTGGTTCCTCCTACCTCGATGATTTCCTCCTCCATCCAGTCTCCATCCTCCATTAATTTTGAGACAGGTGCCCAGGGTTTATCAAGCATCTCAGCTATATTTTCTATGGCTCATAAACTGGAATACACATGGAGTAGATCCCCTGATGATAATATTACATCAACCACAGGTAAATAATACTGGTATCTCTTAAGAGATTTGGATTTTGTTTCTGGATTGATTGAAGATCCTTGGGCTAGGTGTCTAGACACTAAGAAAATAAATAGCTACATGTAATAGGTATCCAGAAACTAAGAAAAAAAGTAGCTTTATATATCTGAATGATAAGAAATGATTTTTTTCTTCATTTTTACCTTTTACAGATCTATATCATGCTTTATTGTGTATAAGAAGGTTTCATATGCCATATACTAGTATATGACAAAAAAATCTTTTTGTCAGCCATTTTTTTTAGACTTTGACAAGAAGTCAAGTGCTTATACTTGAGACTAAGTGCAAATGGCTCTCTCAAGAATAATTCTTTTTCTAAAAAAACAAAACAGAGATCAATTTTCTTAAGAATGACATGTAAATTACCTGTTGATGTAGGTGGTGGATGTGACAGTTCACGTCAGGAATACCATGGCAGGTGTTTACAGCTAGCCTCCTCATCCTACTCCCATACAGCAGGTGTCACACACTGTTCTACAGATATGATGTTGTCCATTCACTTTCCATCTGAACTCACGTATATCATCTCTCAGTATGGAGGATCAGGTATCATTATAAGGACAGCTTTTTATTGTCAAATGCTTATTTTCTGTACTAAAGTGTAAATGTTTTTAAGTCACAAAGTGGAAATTGTTCAGAGTTTTAGATACTCTAGATCGCAATATTCACAAGGACCTTTCTGTAGATTGTCCTAAAATGAAAAAGATCTTGTAAATAATAGGTCTTACAAGTTATTTTATATGTGAAAACTATATCTTGCAAATTAATACAATGCTAGTGTCTTATAGCCATGGGAAGTTACAGTGATTTACTATATGTATGTTATTTTGATGATTGATTTTTCACCAATTAAGATTGAATTTTGAATTTGTTTGTTAGTAACTACTGGAGTTTATTTGGATGCCAAAAAGACAGGGACAGAGTATTACTGGAGTACTGGGTCAAAGGCTTACTTTACCACATCGGATGTTAACAATGCCGGGGTGGGAGACTGTGTGTATATATCTAAATCCTCATCAGATCTACAAGGAACAGATTGTAACACTGCCTACAATGTCATTTGTCAGAGCAGTAAGTTGATCAATAAGCTTTTCTCTTTTTTTTTTTTGTGTATGTTTGCAAAAATCTGTAAGTGATAAGCATGAGAAAGTGTTTGTTTTTATGCAAATTTCTTGTAAGACATACAGTATTCAGTAGAAAATGTTAAAAACTGAATAGTGAAGCAATATTTTTTGCTTTAAATTTATTTCCTCTTAATGTGTTTTAAATGCATGTATATTGTCATTTGTATATTAAACTTTCAGAACCAATAGCCTGTCCTCATGGAGGCTCTTTGTACAGTAACAATGGACACTGCTACAAGCTTCAGACAAGTGACCAGAACTGGGCAACCGCCCAAGGAGCATGTACGTCTCTAGGATCCACTGCCAACCTGGCCAAGATTGACTCTGCTGCCATAGAGTCCTTCATACTGAATAATGTGGTTCCTTCTGGGCAGAATGTGTGGACTGGACTGAGTGACCAGAATCTTGAGGGTCAGTTGGAATGGGCTGATGGTCAGATCTGGTCCACTCACCCTGCAGTGAATGCTACAAATTTGGATTGCTTTAGTCTGCAGTCCTCTGGGAATTGGCAGTCTAGGAGTTGTACTGTTGCAATGAAAAGTGTTTGCGAATACAGCAGTAGAGGTAAGGCTGTTCAATAAAGGAGAAAAACTTAATAAATTGTCATATATATATATATATATATATATATATATATATATATATATATATATATATATATATATATATATATATATACAGGTAAACTTTGGTATCTCGACATCGGATATGTTGACAACCTGGGATATGTTGACGTCCTTCCACGGTCCTGGCAGTATTTACTATATAAATGATTTGCAAACTCTGATCTCTGATATGTCAACCTGGGTTATGTCGACAACCCGGGTTATCTCGACATATATCCACAGTCCCAAGAGCAAAATTTACCTGGTATATGTTGACATCGGCAATTTTCTGCTCTACTGAACCTAATTGTTTGTCAGATAGGGTCGCTCGTCACACACGGACGACTCCGTGTATCTCGACGTCGTTAAAATTTCACACCTAAGTTTTGACTGCACGCTGCTTAATTAATTCTATAGACTGTGTTTGTAGGTGAATCCGAAGCCCCCTCGGCGTGTTTGAGAAGTTAATTGCTTAATGTTCAGCTTGGGTAATATCATTGCTAAATTTACATGATTCTTCATTAATGTACAGATGGTTATTTATATCGAAACCTAACATAACTTTTAAATTTGAAAAAGGTAACTAAATTACAATGAATAACAAACACACTGAATAATTCAAACTAAGGAATTAAAAGATGTTTTAATGATATTTTGTAGTTAATGTATTCAACAGGAAACAATCCAATTAACGACACGATTGACCGAATCAGCCGTAATTCATGCATCTGTAACATCACTACGTTAGTTTAGATACACAAATCTCTTTAAAAGAATTAATTTTAATGTACATTTTAATGTACGTTCTTCCTGAATGAAATAAGAAAAAAATAATCTGCATTTAATTTTTTTTTCCGTATATAGGATGTCAACTTTATACGGTTCGAAGTTTATAGAGCGCATTTCTTATCCTGTTTCGAAAAAAAGGCAAGTTACACGTACGCAAATGCTGTAACTTTGTGAATTTAGAAAGATTTTTATAAAGAACATGTTTTATAAACAAGATTTTTAAAATAACTTCTTAGATTTTTAATAAAAATAGGGAATTCTGAAATATGTTGAGCTACAGTCTATATTGAAGTCATGTACATATAATAAGCTTGACTGTTTTGCTATGCAGTGAAATCTTGGACGTCAATTCTCAACTCTGATTTCTCGACACCTCGGATATGTCAACATTTTCCGATGGTCCCGTCGATGTCGAGATAACGAAGTTATATATATATATATATATATATATATATATATATATATATATATATATATATATATATATATATATATAACTAACTGGTACCATAGAACAGTTTTACATGTGAAATTCACAATAATTGTGATGGATAGAGATTTATTATCAAACAAGCATGTATATGTGTTGTTCAGCCCTCCTGAATGTTGATCATGTAGTTGCAAGTGTGAGTGGTTTCCTCTGAAATTTTTCAGAAGTCGCCAGTGTTCCAACCTATGTTGCCGGGACAGCCCAGCTGATGACCACATCCTACTCCCTGACTACATTATCACCCACCACAACTCCCCACATCTCTGATAGGAACATAATCTCTCTCTTTCCAGGTTTGTTTTAAAGGAAAACTAACAGAGAAAGAAAGTAGCATCATTTTACATGACAAAATATTTCCAATTAAGCTGTTATTTTTTGAAATTCAGTTATCATTTGGATATAGTATTTGTACGTTTTACACTTTCATGTATATTTAGGACTATGGATCAACAGGGAAGGAAAAGCTCGAGCTTGGAATTTTCGTACCACACCAGGCAGAACAGAGAGTTTAGCACTGACTTTTATGGTGTTAGAACCAGTGTGTACCACCTCCTTAATACCTCCAGGTAATCCATGTATTTTTAATTTCACTTTGCTTTATTCTTTGACAATAATTCTGCAACTCAAATTTTTATGCCCCGCCATGAATATGGCTGGGGCATATAGTGTTTGTCATGTCCATCTTCTGTCCTTCCGTCTGTCCTTCCCTCACACTTTGCGTTTAGCTCTGTTCAAAGCTCAGTTTCAAAGAAACTATCTAAGATATTTTTATCAAACTTCATATGCTGATAGATATTGATGAGAGCTATGCAACTGCATCAACATTTTTTGACCTTGACTTTTCATTTGACCTTGACCTCACTTTTTTAAAAATAGTGTTTAGCTCAGTTTTAAAGATACCATTCTAGGTAGTGTAATCAAACTTCATATGTTGATAACTGCTGATGTAAGCTTTTCAACTGCATCAACATTTTTTTTACCTTGACCTTTCATTTGACCTTGACGCCACTTTTCTTAAATTAGTGTTTAGCTCAGTTTTAATGAAATCATTCAAGATATTTTTATCAAAATTATTATGCTGATACATACTGATGAGAGCTTTTCAACTGCATCAATATTTTTTGACCTTGACCTTTCCTTTGACCTTGACCTCACTTTTATTAAATTAGTGTTTAGCTCAGTTTTAAAGATACCATTCAATACAGTGTTATCAAACTTCTTATGTTAATACATACTGATGAGAGCTATTCAACTGCATCAACATTTTTTTGACCTTGACCATTCCTTGACCTTGACGCCACTTTTCTTAAATTAGTGTTTAGCTCAGTTTTAATGAAATCAATCAAGATGTTTTTATTAGCTCACCTGAGCTGAAAGCTCAAGTGAGCTTTTCTGATCACCCGTTGTCCGTCGTCCGTCCGTCTGTCCGTCCGTCTGTAAACTTTTCACATTTTCATCTTCTTCTCAAGAACCACTGGGCCAATTTTAACCAAACTTGGTACAAAGTATCCTTGGGTGAAGGGGAGTGTAAATTGTTAAAATAAAGGGTCAAGTCCCCTTACAAGGGGAGATAATCAAGAAAAGACAAAAATAGGGTGGGGTCATTAAAAAATCTTCTTCTCAAGAACCACTGAGCCAGAAAAGCTGAAACTTATGTGGAAGCATCCTGGGATAGTGTAGATTCTAAATTGTCAAAATCATGACCCCCGGGGGTAGGGCGGGGCCACAATAGGGAATCCAAGTTTTACATTGAAATACATAAGAAAAATCTTTAAAAATCTTCTTCTCAAGAACCACTGGGCCAGAAAAGCTGAAACTTATATGGAAGCATCCTGGGGTAGTGTAGAATCTAAATTGTTCAAATCATGACCCCCGGGGGTAGGGCGGGGCCAAAATAGGGAATCCAAGTTTTACATTGAAATACATAAGAAAAATCTTTAAAAATCTTCTTCTCAAGAACCACTGGGCCAGAAATACTGAAACTTATATGGAAGCATCCTGGGGTAGTGTAGATTCTAAATTGTTCAAATCATGACCCCCGGGGGTAGGGCGGGGCCACAATAGGGAATCCAAGTTTTACATTGAAATATATAGGAAAAATCTTTAAAAATCTTCTTCTCAAGAACCACCGGACCAGAAAAGCTGAAACTTATATGGAAGCATCCTGGGGTAGTGTAGAATCTAAATTGTTCAAATCATGACCCCCGGGGGTAGGGCTGGGCCTCAATAGGGAATCCAAGTTTTACATTGAAATATATAGGAAAAATCTTTAAAAATCTTCTTCTCAAGAACCACTGGGCCAGAAATACTGAAACTTATATGGAAGCATCCTGGGGTAGTGTAGATTCTAAATTGTTCAAATCATGACCCCTGGGGGTAGGGCGGGGCCAAAATAGGGAATCCAAGTTTTACATTGAAATATATAGGAAAAATCTTAAAAAATCTTCTTCTCAAGAACCACTGGGCCAGAAAAGCTGAAACTTATATGGAAGCATCCTGGGGTAGTGTGGAATCTAAACTGTTCAAATCATGACCCCCGGGGGTAGGGCAGGGCCACAGTAGGGAATCCAAGTTTTACATTGAAATATATAGGAAAAATCTTTAAAAATCTTCTTCTCAAGAACCTCTGGGCCAGAAAAGCTGAAACTTATATGGAAGCATCCTGGGGTAGTGTAGATTCTAAATTGTTCAAATCATGACCCCCGGGGGTAGGGCGGGGCCATAATAGGGAGTCCAAGTTTTACATTGAAATACATGAGAAAAATCTTTAAAAATCTTCTTCTCAAGAACCACTGGGCTAGAAAAGCTGAAACTTATATGGAAGCATCCTGGGGTAGTGTAGATTATAAATTGTTCAAATCTTGACCCTCGAAGGTAGGGCGGGACACAATAGGGAATCCAAGTTTTACATTGAAATATATAACTTAAAGAAAAATCTTTAAAAATCTTCTTTTCAAGAACCACTGGACCAATAAAGCTGAGACATATTTGGAAGCATCCTGAGGTAGTGTAGATTCTAAATTGTTCAAATTTTGACCCCCGGTGGTAGGGCGGGGCCACAATAGGTATATTAAAAGGGGGAAATCTGGTAAAGAACAGCATGGCCAAAGTTACTCAGGTGAGCGATGTGGCCCATGGGCCTCTTGTCAAAATTATTATGCTGATACATACTGATGAGAGCTTTTCAACTGCATCAATATTTTTTGACCTTGACCTTTTCTTTGACCTTGACATCACTTTTCTTAAATTGTTGTTTAGCTCAGTTTTAAAGATACCATTCAATACAGTGTTATCAAACTTCTTATGTTAATACATACTGATGAGAGCTATTCAACTGCATCAACATTTTTTGATCTTGACCATTCCTTTGACCTTGACACCACTTTTCTTAAATTAGTGTCAAACTTCATATGCTGATACATACTGATGTAAGCTTTTCAACTGCATCAATATTTTTTGACCTTGACCTTTCCTTTGACCTTGACCTCACTTTTATTAAATTAGTGTTTAACTCATGCGAATACATACTGATGTAACCTTTTCAACTGCATCAACATTTTTTTGACCTTGACCTTTCCTTTGACCTTAACTTCATTTATTTTAAATTAGTGTTTAGGTCAGGTTTAAATAAACCATTCAAAATATTTTTATCAAACTTAAATATACTGATACCTATTTGTGAGAAGTATTCAACTGCATCAAAAACATTTGACCTTGAACTTTCCTGTGACCTTGACCTCACTTTTCTTAGATTTGCATTTTGCTTAATCTTAAAGAAGCCATTTAAGATATATTTATGTAAGTTTATGCACTTATACATAATTTGGCAAGAATTTATCATATATGTCCAACTTTTTAGATTTCAGTTTTAATTTTAAAGAAACTATTTAATATATTCTCATCAAATTTCATACACTAAAACAAATTTTCATGTTGCATTACTAATATACCCTCGGCGGGGCATTCATGTCCTATGGACATATTTCTAGTTTTGAATGAAAAGATGGTTATATTTTATAAAGGGTAAAAATAAAATGAAAAGTGAAAACTTCTTGTACATGTATATAGTGTGTAGAATAAGAAGATAAAAAGAAAACAGGATAATAAACATAACAAACATATTTTCTATATTTGCCTTATATAGATGTAGAATACGAACAGAACACTCTTTCTCTCATTGATAGGATGCAATCAAAATGGAGCCTGGTTTGGTTCCTGTGTCAGCTCTCCACAATCCTGTACAAAGTCAACATCATCCTGTGCCAGCAACGAAGACTACTGTCTCATCACAGATACATGTCTCCCAAAGACAGATCCCTGCTCTTGTGCCAACCGACAGTCCACTTACACTTTCTGTAACAATCACTTTGTTGGCTCCGGTACCAGACCCAAGTATCGTGTCAGAGGACAGACCTATGTTGTTCTACCAGCAGGTGGAGAAGAAGAGTATACTGTCCCAGTGACAGAGTTTACTGTGTATGAAAATGATGTCCTGGCCTTTGCTACCAATGCCTCCATATCTGTCATCAAATGTGATACCAGCACTGGATCAGACTGGGACCAAAGTTACAACAGTATCTCAAAACGTGACTGGCTAGCTGTGGGAGATGATGTGGAGTCAGACCCAGGAGGCTGGGTTCAGAATAGTGTGTGTTACTTCAATCTGATATACACTGCTAATCAACAAGAAAGTCTGCCGACCACAATGCAGTATTTTACTAATCCTGACACTTACACCTATTCATTAACTGTTCCTTCACTTGGTGGAATCCCTGTGACAGCATCCGTCAAGGCAGAGGAAGAAGTAGGGGAAATTACCTGGATTAATCCTCCAATCCAGACATCAGGTGGTGTCAATGTTTTGGATAACACAGACACTTATTTTGTGTTCAGTATAACTAAAGGAACACATCTTGTGGCCAAATGGACCAAGGATGGAGTTGATACCAATGTTGTTTTCCACAGTACTTGTCCATCAAGCATTGCAACACAATATCCTACAGAATGTTCACAAGCTAATCGCCCATTAGTCTTTTCCTACCAGCTGTACAAGTTCCAAAAGAGTAACGGAGCATCCCAAACTATTACTGTGAATGTTTTCAATGATTTGCCCTTGCAGAAAACCAAGCAACTTACAGTCAATATTCTGCTGCCATTATCTGGATTAAATGTATATCTGGAAACTCCCACCTCAAACAACATTGTAGAAATTGGATCCCCTACAACTTTTATTACCAACATAACTGATGGAACTCCATCATCCTACAGCCTGAGTTACAATGGATCTGCAGCTGTAGGTACTTCCACATCCTCTTCCATATCCTACACCTTTACAAACAAGGCAATTTACCAAGTGAAGGTGACCGCTACTGATGGACTGACCAATGTATCAGCAGAAATTACTGTCAGAGGCCGCTATAAAGCTGGGATCACAGGCCTTGCTTTCACAAATCTTGGAGATTATCTAGCTTCAACATACACATACAGTTTTGTGGCAACAGCAACTGCTGTGGCTGGGGCAGATGTCACTATCACTTGGCAACAAGATAATTCTACATTGCAGACAACAACAGAAGAGATTGGGTCCACAGCATTCTCTGTATCTAAAGATTTTACTTTTGCAACTGCAGGGAATTACACAGTTTCTGTATCTATAACTGATGAATTCGGAGAAACTAAAAATGCGTCGGTAAATGTAGAAGTTATTGATCCTATCACAAACTTTTATCTTATGGCTCAAAATGTGTATCTTGAGAAAGGAAATACAGCCACACTTCAAGCTAAAATGGACCCTGCTCCTACCACATATGGTGCTATAGTATATACTTTTGACTATGGTGATGGAAGTGCCAAAGATGTGAATATAACTGACTCTACCAAACAGCATACATATGTAAATCCTGGTGATTTCAATGTGACTTGTGTGGCCACAAATGGCCCTAGTACAGCCTCTCATTTTATAACCTTACTTGTGCAGGAGAAGATTAGTAACTTTGCTGTAAGTGGTGACCAGTTTGTGGTGGAAAATTCCTCTCAGACTTACACTGCAACCGTGACAGCAGGAACTAGCTTAAATTACCAGTTTAAGATTGACAGCTTGGGTTTTGACTCAGGATATACACCAAACAATGTTCTTACCTACTCCTTTACTGCCACTGGTACCTATACTTTGACAATATCCACCAGAAATGATATTGACTTCAAGAGAGTTTCTTTAGAAATTAAAGTAGTGTCAGCAGATACACTGGTGATTACATCTTTCACTCACAGTCGTTATGTGGAACAGAACACTGCAGTCGCTATGAACGTGAGTTTGCTCCACCACGACATAAGTCAGTTATCTATCACATGGGATTATGGAGATTCTTACACTGAGACTGGTGTAGCAAAAATGACAGCAACACACACTTATACAACATCAGGTGATTACAGCATAACAGTTAATGTAACAGACCCATCCATTTCTAATACAATTTCCAATTCATCAGCCATTTCTGTGATGCGAAAAGTCCAAGGATTGACTGTGGGTAATTCTGGAACAGGAAAGCTCAACTCCACAACAGCAGCTGTGGTGACTATCACAGCCAATGTAAGTGATGGAACAAACCTTAACTTTATTTGGGAATGTAATGGAGTACAGTACAACACAGGGTCAACAAATTACATTGATCTTAACTTTACATCTGCTGGGACTTACTCTGTTGAAGTTAATGTGTCCAATGCAATCAGCTCTCTGACCCAAACCACTATTTTCAGTGTCCAAGCCATGATTGAGAATTTGGGAATTACCTGTGCCTCCTGTGTCACTGATGGTATAGGGAACTATTTCTTAGAAGCAGGTGTATCAATGTCATTCACTGTTACATATACCGGAGGATCTAACCTGCAGTTTGTGTTTAACTTTGATGGAACTCCTTCCACTGCACAAACTGCGGCCACCCTTGCCCATACATATACTCCAGGAAATCGAACCATGTCTGTTACTGCTGCAAATGATGTGGACTCACAGACCATGCAGATTCCAATTGCTGCACAGTCCCGCATCACTAGTGTAGATTTTCCAGCATCCTCTGTTATGCCAACTATAGCACTGGTAAATGAGACCATGACATACTCCCTTACAGTCTCAGGTGGTTCAGATATAAAGTATATTTGGAAGTTTTGTACTACCTGTGCAGAGATATATCATGAAACAAGCAGTATAACAAACCCTGGGTATGTGAGTGCTGACCATTACCAACTAAATGGAACAGCTTACAATATGATCAGTGTTCAGTCATCCGCAATTCAAATCACTGTTGTCAATATGCTGACCAATGTGACAATAGCCTCAGACTTGATAGCTGAAAAATATGCCATCACAGGAACTGCATACACTTTCTATTCACTTCCAAATGTGCATTATCCCCCAAATTCCAACTCCTATAAATACTATGTGGAACTGACAAGCAATCCATACTCAACCACAGTCTCCAGCACAAGTCAGAACTACTCGCATCCCTTTACCGCAGCAGGAGACTACAAGGTGAAAGTGGTTGTGGACAATTTGAAATCTAATGTGGATACAGAAATAAATGTTCTTGTTCAGGATCAAGTGTCAGCTCCAGCGATAGCCTCCAATATGTCAACTGATGTTGCCACAGGGTCTGGTGTTCAACTCACTGTAACAGTGTCCTCAGGTTCAAATGTAGAATATGCCTGGTCAATAGAAGAAAATGGTGTTACACAGACTCTATCAAGCACTACCAACACACTAGAATACCTGTTCTCTAGAAAAGGAAACTTTACACTTAGTGTAAATGTATCAAATATAGTGAGCTGGAAAATTGCAACTTATCATCAACAGGTCATGGATGCTGTTGAAAATATCTCTATCTCCCATGATATAAGTTTAACTACATCTCCATATGTTGCAAAAGGACAGGATGTAACATTCACCTCAAATGTTGGACAAGGAGATGCCTATACAGTTATTTGGACCATTGTTGATTCGACAAGCACAACTATAACCACTCACACAGGAGCAACATTTGTTTATGCCTTTACATCAGCAGAAAGTTACACAGTGAAAATGAAGGTACAAAATGCAGTCAGCTCTCCTGAGACTACACTGTTGATCTTTGTTCAAGTTCCATTGGTCAGTTTAGTCTTAAGTCCAACCAAAACAGTTGCTAAAAGCTCAGAATCTTTAGACCTTACAGCAGTTCACAATACAAATGCCACACATCTCACTTACTCTTGGACCATAGATGGCTCAACTACAACCACCACTGTAAACACTCGAACTCATTCTTTCCCATCTCCTGGAAAATACACAGTAACCATAACAGTGAGCAACAGACTAAGCAGCCTTACAGCTCATGTTGACATTACAGTTCAGGATGTTATTCAGGATCTGGCAATCACTGGCTGTGACACTGAAGCTGTAGAAGACACGGTGGTGAATATGTCAACTTCCATTTCAGCAGGGACAGATGTCACTTACAGCTGGGAAGTCATCAATGGAGCAACCCATACTGGACCTAGCTTTTCAACCATATTTGACACGACTGGAATATATTCTATATCTGTCAATGCCAGTAATTTAGTGGACACCAAATTGTTGACGTGTACAATGACCATCATTGGGATTATTTCTGATCTGCACATAGACACAAGCCATTCTGTGTTCTTTGTGAACTATACCACAAGGTTTGCAGTTGGGGGAAAAAACCTGGTAGGGGTGAAATATAACTGGACTTTTACAGGCCCAACCACTATAAACTTGGTAAACTTGAGCAGTAACCTCCTGTCAAAGAAGTTTGCAGATCATGGTCAATACACTGGAACTTTGATTGTGTTTAACTCTATAAGTGAAGCATCCAAGGTGGTTATCTTTGAAATCAAGCCTTTGACATGCGATGCACCAACTGTTGTGGCCAGTGGCAGTGCAGCTCGTATCATCTACAAGTCCTCACCAGTGTCCTTTGAACTGGATGTGAATATGCATGGATGCATGGATTACATCATAAAATACAGCTGGGAGGTTAATTCAGTGTCATCTGCCTCCTGCAGTGGCACTATGACTCCTTTTACCCTCCCATCTACAGTGTATGCCACTAGTTCAAAAATCACAATTCCAGGAAAGACGCTGCCCTATGGGTATTACTGTATTAAAACAACTGCAGAATATGACGGTACTCCATTGAATGTGAAAAATCAGTACACAGTAAATGTCATTGAATCTCAGCTTGTTGCCCTGTTGTCTGGGGGTAACTCGAGAACTGTTTCCAACTTGATGTCTCTGACTCTGAATGGCACTGAATCCTATGATAGAGATGACAGTAGTACTCCACTTACCTACAGCTGGGCCTGTTCCATTATATCAGTATGTAGTTTTATATAAAATAATGTTTTCAAATCTACATGAAATAATGCTTCAAAAGAAACAAGTAGCCACTTTTTTTTTCCAGAATCAATTTCTTTGACTGAAAGTGTATAAAAAAAGTATGTTATTTTCAGGGAGCTTCAACTCCAACAGCCTGCATTGATGTGACTTCAGCTTCAACTGGGACAGTTACACTGGACAAAAATAACATGGCTGTGGGACAGAAGTACAGGGTAACCTTGACTGTATCTTCACCAGGAAGAACTTCTGGATCCACCTCTGTAGAGGTAAGGAAAGAAAATAAGTTTTGTTCTTGATAATTCATCTTATCATGAAAATGATTAACAGTCATTGTTCTTTGTCAGGTGATTCAGTGTGAGAATGACATTTATTTGACAAAGTTTTTTTTATGCAGTGAGAATATTTGGTAAAATGAATGAATTATTTTCAAGATTGAAATTTCTGGAAATGATGTGCCGTTGGTGTCAATCAACTGTGTCTCCTGTTCAGCTGAAAACCGCCATGTGATCAATGCAGGTGATATGGTAATGCTAGAGGGCACATGTTCAAACTGTGTATCAGCCAGTAGTGTTACCTACACTTGGACTGCTGAATATGGAAGTAGCACTTTGACCCTAGACTCCACAACAACTTCAACTGGAAATGACAAGATAAATCTGGTAGTGAAGGCTAGCCAACTACCAGCTGCCTCAGTATACAAGTTCAAACTCCAAATCCAGAAAATAGTTTCTGGCACAACCACAACTGGTTATGGACAGATTGAACTTGCTGGAAACACAGCACCCAGTGGTGGATCATGTTCTTTGAGCCCTGCTTCAGTGAAGTCACTGGAGGACATAGTGACCTTCACTTGCTCTGGCTATAGTGATCCAGGAAGCTCCTCCACAGAGCTGTACTACCGTGTGAAGACCTATAGTTCTGATGGGAAGGAGTCAGTGGTTCAGTACCATGGTAGTGTAAACAGTGCCAAGATATTCACAGCTCCATGGCCAGGAAACACCAGAAACACTGTGCAGATTAAGATTTTCATCGAGGATGAGCATGGAGCCAGGACTCAAGCATTAGATCAGTATGTAATAAATTTGAAAACACACTGTAAATTTATGTATTTAGCATTATTGGGTGGAAACAAATATTATAAGTTATTAAAATTTAAAGGTAAGAAAATATTTAAACAGATTGATAGCATATATATGTATATTTTTGTAGGTCTATTGGAGTTACTGCACCATCTCTGAGTGCCACATCAAACACGGAATACATCTTTTCCTTGGTAAACACTACACTAGCTAACATGGTTCTGGAGAATAACCCGTCTATGATCCTACAGTACAGTATTGCCTTGGTCCATGAGATCAATGAACAGTCACGTTTAGCAGCTTCTGTAAATCCAAACAACGAACTGATTTTGAGGACAAAGGTCAGAAATGCTATAGCTCTGGCTGCTATGGGGCTGCCACTAGAGACTCTCCATGAGAAGGAGCAGACAGCATTTATTCTGGAACATTTAACTGTAAGTTTAAATTCAAAATTTCAGAAAATCTGAAATACAGTCAAACGTTGTTATCTCAGTCTCGGCTTGACAGTCTCGGAGAAAACATTTGAGAATGTGAGGTTCAAAAACATAAAGAAAAAGTGGTTTGGACTTAAATATCACTTTAACATATTCATGGCATTCAAGATATTGGTGCTTAAGATAATAAAGTTCAGTTGTAGTTATTTTATACTTTCACAAGTGATAAAAGTGTAAAAACCTCGGGTCTGCTCAGATTTTATTTGTTAAATGAAGCAAGTTGGTTTAATTCAACTTTGAAAATATATATGTATATCTGTATTACAGTTAAACAATTCAAGCTTCATAACTTTCTTTGCAGAAATATGAAACAGAATTCCAAACAAAGGAATCTCAGACCATTGCCCTGAACCAGGTTGATATTCTGAAGTCCTCAATGAGAAGCATTCAAGGAGCGAATGACAACTCTATTCTGACAACTCATCTGATGGCCTGCATCTCTAATCTTATGGATGCTGCAAATGCAGGGGTATATGATGCTACATCTGTGATCAACTCTACAAAGTCCCTGGAAGCTTCCCTCATTACGTCTTTCAAAGCCAACATAAGTACTAGTGATACACACTCTGCCTCCAGGTCAGATGAAGACCACAAGAAGTTTGTGGTCAACAAAGCCTTTGAAAATAGTGAGGAAATCATCACTGTGAATCTGAAAAACCAGATTTTGGGTCAGGACCCTCTGGAGGAGGAGTTAAGTGGAATAGTGTTTTATGGACAGAGAACCAAGAGTGATGTTCCTGCTACTTTGTACCAGTCTGCAGGAATGGCTGTACAATCTACAAATGACACACTGAATGGAATTGTTAGTCCAGGGACAGAAGTACTGCAGCTCGTAATGGGGATATCACGAAACCCATTTACCTGGGGCTATTCCACAACACAAGTTAATTCCAAAATTATGATCATGTCTTTCAAAGAGACCTCTGGCACAGATATTGCAGTACAGAGTTTGTCAGAATCCAGGGCACTAAAGTTCTATCTTCCAGATGGAACCACAAGTGGTTACTCCAATATTGATGCTGGGGGACTGATTTCCAATCCTGCTTATGATCCCTTGGAAGGTTTGGCCATGGCAACATATCAGATAGAAAAAAGCTCAAAGAGGAAAATAAACATTAACACTGCAGGCTCTAAAACTGGTCATGCTATGCATATTCAGCTGAGGATATCATTGATCAATGACAGTATGGCAGACCCCCTGGATGAGATAGAATTCTACTTGGGTAAAGGTTATGTGGCTACTTCTTCAACATATGAGCAGAAACTGATCCTGCAGAGTTTACATATGGTGACTGGAATGGACCATACCAACTACACCATGTTTATAGACTCCACGTAATTGTCTTAATCTGCTTGTAAATTCTAATTTGCAAAAAGCCAAACATGTTCTTGTACATGTATCCAACAATTAAGTTTTATAAAACTTTTGACACATATCATATTTGCTCTGTTTAAATTTGCTCCATTTTTCTGATGCTAAAGTTACCTTGTTAAATTAGCCATTTAAATTTCATTCTAGTGGATTGAGTTGATATGATGTTTTATTTCAGTTTTTTGCATTTTTTTAAATATGGTGCTCTGTTTTTTACAGATCCTTTGACCCCTCAGCTTCCTATACAATCACTGTCTACAACAATGATCCAAACTTTGCCTACAACATATCTGCAGCTTTGTATTTTACATCCTGTGGATATTACAACCCCACTGATGAGTCCTGGAGTGGCTCAGGCTGCTACCCCACTTCAGAATCCCTCCCCCAGTACACCACTTGTACCTGTAACCACCTGACCCCATTCGGAGGAAGTATGCTAGTACCACCAGATGCCATCAGCTTTGCTGACCTCACGGTAACTTTACATTCCTTAAAACCTTTTCAGCAATATCTTTTATATGATTCTTGCATTCTTGAAATATCCATACAAAATTAAATAAAAAAATTAAGAGTGGTTTATAATTCTTTCAATTTTTTTACAGGACTTGGACCTTTCTGATAACCCTGTGGTATTTATAACTTGTTCAGTAATCTTTGTGATTTACGTCGTTGCTGTCATTGTTTGTCGTCGGATGGACAAAATTGACCTGGACAGAATTGCCACTATACCACTGTGTGGAAAAGATGGATCCTTTAAATACCAGATCACTGTGATAACTGGAAGAGATCGAGGCTCAGGTAAGTCCCCAACAGACCCTTATTATACATGTATGTACCTGGTATTGCTTTATGCTGAACCAGTAGGGGATATTGTTTATGATACATGTTTTTATGCCATTTTTTGCACTCTCTCTTAAATTATATAACAGTTTGAAACCTGCTTTATGACTGATTGAATTGATGTTTTGTCTGCAGGAACAACAGCCCATGTTGGCATCAAGCTTTATGGAGAATACGGAAAAAGTAAAGAAAGACAACTCGTCAAAGATGGAGCATTTCAACGTAATTGTGTCGACTCGTTCTTCATTGCAAATGATACTAACCTGGGAAATGTTCATAAGATTATGATCTGGCATAATAATTATGGCCTTGACCCAAGCTGGCATATGAAGCAAGTTATCATCAGAGACATGCAGACAGAGAAGAAATATTATTTCTTTGGAAACTGTTGGATGACACTTGAAAGAGAGCAGGGATTTATTCAGAAAGAGATAAAGGCAGCTGGTAAACACTTCTTTCATCTCTATTACAAACAAAAGAAATGGGAAAATTTAATTACTGAAGTCCTGAATTTACATGTACCTCATCATATTTTTGAATACATGTTCACATGTAAAAGTAATTTTTTTTAAATCTTACAGAGAAATATGAATGAAATGATAATAAATGAAATGTACAGTCTTAAAATTTCTTATTCATGAATTTGTACTTCAGGTGCTTCTGAAATCAAGAGATTCTCACGAATGTTCAGATATGCAGTCTCCAACAGCATGGCTGATCGTCATCTTTGGGTGTCCATCCTGGACCGTCCAGCCAACAGTAGATTCACCAGAGTTCAGAGGGCAACAGTGTGTGTTACTCTCCTGTATGTATTCATGGGTGTGAATGCTATGTGGTATGGCATCTTGAAGACAACAAACACTAGTGATAGCAGTCAGGGGATTTCATCATTTGGTTGGGAGGAAGTAGTTCTGTCATTCTTGTGCAACATAATGGTTTTCCCCTTCAGTCTTCTATTGATTTTTGTCTTCAAGAAGAGTAGGTCAAAGGTATGTTATGAGATTTATTGTCCAAATCTTTCAGAACTGTGAAAATTATAATACTTTATAGCATTATAAAAGTTATTTTTCCTCTTATATATGATTTTTATCGTGGTGTTTTATTCTTCTTTCACAGACCTCTGGATTTGACCCCAGACCACAAACAGCCAAAACAATTGAGATAGATAATGATTTGGGTGGATCACAGTATAGTTCATCTTTCCGCTCTGAGTCACAGAGTGATCTGCTGTCATGCATGGAAAGAGAAAGTACCACAGACAGCGCTATGGTGAGATTCTGATTTTATGTCAGTTATTGACAATGAGTTTTTTTAATTGTTTGTACACAGTAAGTAAAAAATGAAAGTTATCTCCTAATACATCTATTATGTAAATAACCATTTATGATTATATTTCAGTTAAAGTTTTTGGATGATAGTTTATTTCACATGTACCTTTTTAATTTATCAGTCAAAGTTATAAAAGTTGCATGTGAAAATTATATTAATGAATTTTGTACAGCTTCCACATCAGCCAACTCAACCACTGAGGAAGACCAAGACCCTGAAAACAACACGAAAAGGGGTCGAGGAAACCGCTGTTAAGGTCCCTCTCCCTGATTCTGCTGAGGGAGGATTCCCAGAAAAATCTAGGGTAAGGCCTCAGAACTAACACCTCTATAACAAAACCTGCTAAGCTTTCAATGTTTATTTGAATGATATTTTCTTGATTGCATGGATTGCTGATTTGATATTGGTTTTGTTTTTGTTTTTTTTGGTACATGTATATGTATTGATGGATTTTATGCTTTACGCAAAATGAAAAAAGAAGTGTAAAAAAAAAAAAAAAAAAGGAAAGAAAGAAAAATTAATATATTTTTTCCATCACTTGTTAGATGACTGTGGTAAGACAAATAGAGAATTCAAATGGTATTGCCTTTGATGTTGTTTTCTGTATCCCTCTAGTGATATCAGTATTGTATTCTTGATCCTTAGTACTGTTTACATGTACAGGTAGATGGTTCTATATTCTATCCAGTATATCTCTCCCTGAGCACCTCAGTCATCACCAAAAAAAAAGCTATTTTAAAATGAATCAATTTTCACTTATTCAAGTTAAAAAGTTCCTTGCTGTGTGTTGTTTGTGGTCATGAAAGTGTTCTATAGGTTTATGGATTTACTTTATAAAGTCATGGATCTTTCACAAATCAGAGAAAGAAAACTTTACCAAAATCTATTTGATTAATACAGCTTCATTTTGAAGAAAGATCTATGGTTTAATGTTTCATGCTATAGTCTATGTTTTGAACTTGAATGATCTTTGTATACTAACTTCCAACACCAAGAGGTAGGGTAAGTCTTTAGTCTGTAAGGTACCCCTAGTTCAGTGTACTAATCATGGAGATCCCCACACTTACAGTGGAAGAGGACAAACAATCCACGAATCTGGAATGACCAGTCCATAATGGACATGTGGCCAGACCGTATTCCCAGATATAATGACAGATGTGGAACCCCTAAAATTGGACAACACAGGCCTGAGAAAGAACAAGAAGTAGGGTCTTACTAACAATACTAACTGTTCAATTAGGAAATTCAATGTTTCTAAAAAAAAAAATTCCCTCCTCTGTCTCTGTTTCTTTTCTTCCTTACAATGTTTTCATTGTGTAAAAATTGTGTTGTATCTAAAAATGAATCTTTTCTAGAATATAAATATCTCAATGAATTTTTCTTTTTAATTTCATTTTCATCTGACTGTCTGTTTAATTTGAATAAACTTTATGCTTAATGCTTGGATAGATATTTATCTGTTTTTTAATAGAATTGTAAGCAAAATTCAAAAATAAGAATGAATGTCTCACTTGAATGGTTGTTCGTGAATTTGTCATTTATATTTGCTCATTTCTATATAAGGTAAGAGAGGCTGCTGAAGACATCTTGAGTTATCTAGATGGTGTAGAACAGGATGCAATAGCTAAAGAAACCAAGCGATCCTTACAAGGTGGAGGGAATGCTAAGCCTCTTACCAGGTAAAAATTTATGTCAAACAGCTTTTCTTATAAACAACACAATACTTTAATGCCTGTAAACTCTAGGAAAATTGTAAATTTATTGTAAGAATAGGGACACAATTTTTGTTGGTTTTAAGAAAAGTGTAAAAGTAATCCATATTTCAATCACAGTGTATGTTCTTCATATTAAAAATAAACTGTAAATTTTTTTCATATATGTATCTTTCGCTATTATCTTATTTTGTGAAATATGAAGTACATGTACTATGGTTTCATCATTTTTCGCTGAGCTCCAGTTTTCATTGTAAAGGCAGAATACAAAACTGGTGACCAACCAACTACATGTACAAGTTTTAATATTGATAGAATAGGAAAAGGGGTCTTTACATATCCGTGAAATCGATTTTTTTTTTTTGTCAAAATCATGAAATTTGATTCCCACAAACATTAATGAAAACCACTATACTTTTACAAGTGAGGCCATATTGAATAATTGATTTTAATTTGATTTTGCATGTAAAGTATATCTCTCCTCAGAAAGCACACAATGCCACAGAAAAAACATGATGACCTGGATGATCTTTTAATGGATGAAGAGGTGAAACCAAAGCAAAAGTCAATCCAGAGACGAGTCTCATCAGTTTCCATTGGTTCAGGCAAACCCCCTCACTCATCTGGCTCTCAAAAAAGCTTTAATCCAAGACAGGATCCAAACATGTTAGTCATATGAGATAGTTTTTTTTGCTGCCAATTGAAAGATTTGGTTTATATGTGTTATTGTCATTATCTGGATTTTTGATTAATTAGCCATGTTGTCATTTTTCATCATGTGCATTTGAACAATATTTATGCATTATATGTTTGCCATTGTAGAAGAAAGCCACCATCAGCTAGCAGTAACAAAGTGTCTAAGTGGGTATCTAAACTCCACACCTCGTCCACTGGAGTGTCATTACCAGAGGTAGAGCACATCGGTCCATTAGAACCTGATATGGGACTGGCACAGAGAACTACAACTGATTTCTGTAAGTGGCATGTTTGAAATAAAGCAGTGAACTGGATATGTTGTATTGTTAAGCTTGTGTTCATATTTAATCTTTTCTCATTGAAAAAAAATATTTTCCAGCAATTAGGAGTTTTTTATTACTGTGAAATCAGTAATTATCATGGGGGTTTGACTTTCGTCTTGGTATAAAGAGACCCACAAATTCATGTCCTCCATGAAATGTAAAATTTCAAATCAATAACAACTTTATCCAATTCCCAATGAACCAATATTTTTTCCTCAAACCACAAAAATCTGACCCCACAAAATATGTGATTTTACAGTATGGTACTACAGGTATGAATTGTCCTTTAAGACGAGATCTGTTTATTCTGATTTTTAAAACTCAAGAGATTCTTTCTTCAAAGTTACTTGTTTTTTTTTTCAGATACTGATGGTTACAGTGAAATGACAATGGAGGTCCCAGCCACCAGTAAAAAGCCTTGCTCCCTTCCAGCTTGGTGTATCTACCTTGGATACGTCCTCTGTTTCCTCTTGTCTGGCACTTCCTGTATTCTGGTTGTTTTGTATGGCAGACAGTTTGGAGCAGATATTGCCCTCCAGTGGCTGCTAGCTCTTCTGTTTTGCTTCATCTTCTCCTTCCTGTTTGTGGAGCCAGTGAAGGCATTATTTATTGCCCTGTATCTGGCAGCTTGGGAGAAGAAGACAGAGGACACAGATGATGTCATTGACAACGAACCCAAGTTTGACATGTCTAACGAGCTTGTAAAGGTAACAGACTCTGAATCACCTATAGGGAGAAAGCTGCTTTATGCATGATTTGAATGCTTGTCGAAAATGAATGCTGATTTTTTATTGTTTATAGGAGGTAAAGTTTAGTCCTTTGAGTGGTTTTGCATTGCTGAAGGCCAAAGAGGATGGAATGAAGATTCAGCGCTTGAGACTGATGCTGCGACAGTTTGTGGCCTACCTGTTTTACCTCTTATTAGTGATGGCTTTGTGCTATACCAACTTCACACACCACACCTATAGGATGTCACAGGCAGTGGAGGAGACCTTTGTCAAGACCAACATTCCCAACAGTAACAGGGCATTCCAAAATATATCCAGGTATGGAAATTATTGGGCATTGACTGTTTTGTTAAGTCATAATGTTATTTTATTGTTCCATTGTTACTTTTGAACTACATGTACATCAATAATAAAGATTTTATTTATGGTTTGACATTATTATAAAAAAGAATTTACTTACATGTGTGTGCTTAATTTTTCAGTGTGGAAGAGCTTTGGACATGGACTCAATCTGTTTTGATCAGTGGCCTCCACTATGATGAACTAACTTCATACACAGAGTTCAACACCTTACTGGGTGTGGCCAGACTCAGACAAGTCCGGGGACTGAGAGGTAGGAAGACGGGATCTTTATCATCCGTTGCTCTGTATCGAAAAAGATTTTATACATAAAAAAAATCATTATCAGAAGCATTGTATTTATTCTGTATGTGAGGTACATGTACATCATATACTGTACGTGTGCATAAATTGGCATATTCAAAATTTAGCACAATGAAGGGGTATGGAGTTGTTGGTGTAATCATTAATTAGCACTATACATGTCCGTGACATGTATTGTATTAATAAATGATTTGTTAGCGGTATTCATGAATTAACACATCGTTGTCTGCGCCAAAGCCGCTAAAATATGAAGCCTGCTTTTTTAAGTACACATACAGTATATTCAATAATTTAAAGATTAAAATGCCCAAGGTTGGGATTCAGGTGTATTTATGTGAATATTTCTGATGATTGCATTGTGTTTGGTGTAGAACCATGCCCTGTGAAGGAGTACCCATTACACTCTGGATTGGACAGCTTGGCCGGGGCCATCGAGTGTGAGGGAAGTTTGGGATATACTGAGGACAAGTACCACTATGGATACCTGTGGAATCTTACCCAATCACAGAACCTCTCCTGGCGGTACCACACAGACAGCCAGACAGACAGGTAGATATGAAATTAAAGAAGTCATGTTAGTTGGCCATGAAAATCTCTCTTGTATAATACTGACAGCCAGACAGACAAGTAGAGATTGAATTAAAGACCTCATGTTAGTTAGCCAAGTACTTCTCTCATGTATAGTATTGAAGGTTGTAAAATCTGTCAGATAGTGTTGATATGTGAAATATCTCCTAGACGATTTCCCTATCTTGTTTATTGTTATATGAGTTACATTCTGAACTATCCTTTGTAATTGTAGTAAGAGAAGACAAGGCTATGTGTTTTCCTATGGTGGAGGTGGTTATGTACAGTATCTGGGCTCTACCTTTAATGAGTCCCTGACTGCTCTACAAGATTTACAAACCAAAGACTGGATCGATCTTAGGTACATTTGTCTTTACCATATTTAGTAAAGTTTATCAATGAATGAATTTTTCTATCAAGAATACATTTGACATCATCAAATGTAATTTTAAAGAAACTTCCTATTTGTAATTTTGTAGAAACAAAGACAGTTATTCAGGATATTTTCCTCTGTCTTTACTTTTAGGACGAGAGCTTTGTTTATTGATTTCACCATGTACAATCCTGCTGAGGATCTAACAACATTTACCACCCTGATCATGGAGTTTCCTCTGACTGGAGGGATGAATACTTCATTTGATATTCAGACAAATAAACTTCTCAGATACATTGATGATGTGGTGGACCCAGTCATGGTCTGCGAGGTATATTTACTTTCATTAGAGCAATATACATGTACACATATATTTATGTTTTTCACTATATTTGTACTTTGAATTTATTTTCTGTCTGATACATGTATAGGACAAAATTGCAAAAGAACACTGATTTATGGTATTTTAAAGAGGAAAAAATAAACATGTATAAACATTTTCATGTATTTCTGGATGTGTGAAAGGCTGAAGAATATCATTTTTATGTCATATTTAATACCTTTGGCTGACTTTTCATTGCTTGTTGTGCCAGGTAATCCTATTCCTTGTGGTAACTTACTACCTTATCCACATTGTAATTCAAATCCGAGAACAAGGCAAGTCCTATTTTCTGGAGGCCTGGAATTGGCTGGAGATGTTGACTACTTTGATGGCTGTTGTTAGTATTGGACTGTACATTGGCTGCTTGGCCACAGCTACAGATACATTCTCCTCATTCCTCAACAATAGAGGAGTCTTCACCAACTTTGAGAAGGTTTCAGACATCCACACAGCAGCTAGATATCTACATGCCTGGCTGTTATTCCTTCTCATGTTTAAGGTATCATGTCTTCTTGGAGCAGTTTCCTAGATTACTACATTTAATAAAAGATTTAAAACAATGGATGAAGAAAATCTGTTTGTGGTATTTATTTGCAAATTGAATTAACTTTTTTCTTTCCTTTTTTTTTTACAAGGTTGTGAAACAGATTCGGTTTATCAAGTTCCTGCATAAGTATGAGAAGACCCTGAGCAGTGCTTTCCCCAAACTGGTGGGAGTTCTGGTCATGTTCAGTGTCCTCTATCTGGCTCATGGAATGATTGCTTATCTGGTGTGTATAATGTGAAATATCTTGTTATTTCTCTCATAAACACTGGACTTAATGTATAATAAAGTGTTATTATGTAATTTAGTGGCAAGTCACCTGTCAATGTTGCTGACAATTTCAGCAGTTTTAACGGAAGAATTTAGATCATGTACATGTATGAGCACTCATTTTCCCCAATTTATCTAAAAAGGATTGAAAATATTTCTTAGCAGAAAAATCTATTACAAAGTAAATAAATGTTTGAAATTTTTTGTTATTTTCAGTTCTTGGGAAATCATATGGATGGCTTTGAGAACTACTGGACTACACTAATGACTCTACTGGGAATGATCCGAGGGACGTTCAACTTCTTCCCCATGCTGGAGATGGACACCATTTTCACTCACTGCTTCTTCTACTCCTACTATATCTTCACGTATGGTCTCACCATTGCGCTGATTGTTGCTGTGTTGAACGATTCATATAAGACAGTCAAATCACAAATGTACTACAAGAGTACATTGGATCTTCAGGATTATGAGATGATTGATTTTATGATGAAGAGGTTTAAACTTTGGGCTGGATTTGAAAAACCAAAAGAGGTAAATGTCTGTAGCAACCTTGAATGCCATGAATTTATTCTTTTTCTTAAACTTAATCATTTACCTAAGAAACTTATTATTAGATTTACTGTAATGGCCAATGTTTTCATACCAAATAATTGGCCCAGAGTCAAAGACTAAGTAATACTTTATGCACACAGAACATTTTGTCAAAGAAAATAAAACCAGCATTTTCAAGCATTTGATTTTTAATAAACATGTGATGTATAACAGAAAACCAGGAGAGTTCATTTTGCGGGGCAGCGATCAGTGTCAGACAGATGCTCTACTAGTCATTCTAACCGTTCCTATGGGGAAGTGGATGACACACCCCTTCCTGTTCCTGTTAAGTCAAGCATGTCAGCAGCGGGTCTGCTGTCAGCCAAATGGGAAGACCTTCTAAAGACAATGAGAAGGGTCAGTACACACATTAATCTAGCTATTTAAACATGTAATAAAAGATAACTTGTTCTGATGCAAAATAACCGATGTATTTATTGCTGTTTTCAAGAAAATTATGTTTGACCACAGCATCAGCATTGATAGTGTTGCTTATATTTCAGGTGGAGTTCTTGGATGAGAAGGAAGATGATATGATTGCCAAAACCCAGAAGGAAGTAGATGAATGGGGTTTCCAGAGTCGCCTTAAGAGCTATGAATCTGAGAGACAAGGTCTGCTTCAGTGGAAGGAGACACCCACAGTGGAACGGGGCAGGTCAGTGACAAAAGTGCCCCACAGGACAATGACTCAGAAAAGTCTACCAGGGAAAAGTGATCTTCAACCCTCAAGTAGTGCTAGTGGGCCCAGTAAACCTACAGCACCTAAAGGTCGACGACCTCTCAGTGACGGAGGTCGAATTGCCACAGATAATACTTCAGAGGCAAAACCATTGGGCTCGAGGGAGAGGAAGTCTATTTATAACTTTTTCAAAAGTATAAAGCCCTCGAGGTCAGCATGGAATAACTGAGATAAAAGTGTTTCGGAAAAAAAAAAAAATCAGTGCTCCAATGTGTTCAATAATTGGAAAAAGAAGTCATGGTTCATTGTGATACCAAAAACACCAAATGGACAGGACCATATTAAATTATTAGATAACATTCATTACCTACCACTTCAGGGATTCATTAGTTTTATCATTGTTAGTTTCATTTTATTCACCTGACATCAATTCCATGGAACCTATTTACATATCCAGTGTTATTCATTACAGTTGTGAGATGAAACAAATTTGGTTCACAATAGGATGCCTGCAGGGTATATGTCTCACTTAAAATGCCAAATGATACAGAGAGAACTAGAAAAGACTCAGCTACCGAACTGGAAATAGTGTAAACAGCTGATCCACTGCAAGACTTGTGTACTGCAGGATTGGTCTCTACATGAATTCTGTGTGAACATTTCCAAGGATCAGAACAAATATGTGCCTAAATGAATCTAAGGCTTATGAAAGTGCCAACCAATCTTGACAAAACTTATGAGCAGATAAAAATTTTATTCCCCATATTTATAGGTTTATTTATATACATGAAATGTACAAGCCAGTTGTTTGGTAGATTTTTATTGTTTATGTTTTTAGAATAATGAAACCACTTAGACAATCAGTCATTTATTCTCGTTATGATCTAGCTCCAATCAAAAATAATTAACAAAGTTTGTAGTTCACTATGTACTATCCTTTATCATACAGCTGCTATACTGGGTTAGAGGTTCTTATTATCTATAATGTTGTGTAAACTTATTATCTTTGGTTATAAGTGCATATGGTTGCAATATTCTTTTTCATCTTCAATATCCTAATATTTCTGTTTGTCATTTTTATGAGTTCATGATTTTAAGTGTCAGCTATTTGTAAATGTTGTAGTACTTAAAATGATAACAGTTTTTGTATTCAAATACTGGTGCTCCTTATTACTTCTTTCAATAGTTTGTCTGTTACTTGATCACAAAGTCATTGTAGTATTCTTTGATGTTTATTTCTGCATGTGTTGCTGGGGAAAATCTGTGATTTAGATGTGGTATTACAGTTATGTGGATGTGATATAACTAAACAAGTTGATAAGGTGATATTGTGATAAAGATTTATAAAAACCAGGTCCTTGTTAATGATAACTGTTGTTTAAGTCCAAAAAAAAATTCATAAAATTTGGTACACATGTATCAGTCACAGCCAAATTTATCTGTAATTATAAAAGCTCAATATTCTTGTACTTAATATGTAATAAAGGAAACTTGGTTGCCAAATAAATGTTAGTAATCCTATACATGGATTGGAAATGTGCCAAATGTGGGAATAAAATTAAACTACATGTACTATAACTATAAGCAGGTTAACACTGTCAGAAGAAAAATGACCAATTATTTAAATACATGTATGGCTGAATCATGCTGAATTTTTTTTTTTTATTCCAACCACTTGAAATTAAGAAAATTGTTATTTTTTAAAATAAACCGTCCATATTAACTGTGCATTCTACTTGTATTTTTTTCAATATATGCATTCAGGTGAATTTACTATATATGTGATATATGCAGTATTATTTATCAACATATTTGTTATGAATTTTTTATGTATTGTTGACCAATTTTTTATGGGGGATGTTTTCCTTTTTTTAATTCTAGAGTGAAAGAATTAGTGCAAGTGCCTTTTTTTTGTTTTTTTTTAAAACCACAATTCTTTTATTAAAGTAAAATTTAAATGTGCAACTGCCTCCTCCTAACGAATGAATGTGACAGTGTGTTTAGTTAGCTGATGTGCGGATTGGGCAGTAGATTTAGGGCTTTTGAATCTTTTTACAGACTTTTATGTTTCACTGACTCTATCTATATAAGCATTATGGATGACAAATGCTATTCTAGGTGTATTTTATTGTTCCTCCCTGGAAAAAAATCAAATGGCCAAGATTTTGCTGGAAAATGTTGCTCAATAAAACAATTTAACATGTTTTTTACACATTTTTTACTAGCTGCAATAATGTAGCCCTCTCAGATATTTTTTTTATCTGATGTTTTCAGGACATGTTCCGGTTTTTTTTTTTATTAATTTAAAATTTATAACAAATAAAAATTTTAATCTTTACTTTTATTTTCAAGAACTAAAAATTTAATAGAGATTTCAGATTTCAAGATTTAACACCAAAGCAAATTTACATTAAACATGTTGAAATTAATGTTTTATAGAAAGTTTGTTGATGCCCTTAACAGATCTATAAGTGCTAATCATATTTTTTTTTAATTCATGAAATTTGGTGCCTATTATACATTATCAAATACAAATTCATCAGATAAAAGTGCCTTTAGTATCAGTGAATGAACCTTTAGTTATGTTTGTGAACATTTTCGTGACATTTCAGTCTACTTGTTCAAGCCTTCTAGATGTTTTATTATTATATTTGAAAAATCAAATCTTTAATATTGTTGATTCCAACTTTGTCTGTTGATGTTATTTTTTTTTTGTTTTTGTATATAAGAGTGATCTATTTCTAGGTGCCTCCCTATCACCACCATTTCTACTGTATCTGACGAGTGTCATTAAAGCGTGTTGCTTCTTGACTGATTTTATTGTTATGTTGTTTTTACATCTTTAATATTTTGGTATGGACGAGTGTCTATCAATTCATCTATGTCCAATTCAGATGTCCAGGATAATGTTTCATCTTATGTCTCAAGCTGCATGGTTTAAGAATTTATGTCAATAAACAATATGAACACAAAATTCTGCAGCTTGCAAGAATTTGTGCTTCAATTTGTTTAAAAATGAAAGACAAAACTGCCAGTTCAATTTTTTGCGAGATATTATGGTTTAAAATAGAGGTTCCATTGTTTATTATGATGTTCCCATTATTAAATGAGGTTTCAATATTTAGAGATCGAGCTAAAACCTTTTGAAAAATAACAAGCTACATTGGACCTGATGAGGAAAGTGTAAATTCCCATAGGAAAATTGTCCCTCATCAATTTCAATTTAACTGTTCCAATAATTTTTACAGCCTGTTTACCAATATTCAGGTACTTTACATCCATTTAGGTTATGTGTTAATCATGATTTGGCACAAAATTATTGACCTTTACATAAACTTGATTAACTGTACCAGCAAGTGCTCCGTAGCACTTGTTTAAGTTACTTTTGACCACAAGGTAAAAGATTCAGAATATTTATTGTACACTTACTATCACTTCATGATTTTGACAATGGTTTGGTCTGTGGTAGTTATGTTGCAAATAAAGTTAAATTGAATTTGATAAAACTCTGTAAAAACACTTAAGCTCAAACACTGAGGCCTCTTGCTAAAATTTTTTACATGTACATGTATATACATTTCTCAGGCCAAATATGAAGATCAGTTGATTTAATATCAGTTCAGATGGAATATTTGATGGTAAAGGGAATAACAAAAAAAGATATAGTACACGTGTTTGACTACCATGCAAGTAGATTTAATCTTCACTTTTTAAGACCTGTTCGAAATGGAAGAAGCAGAAATTCCCTTCATTATTCTTTATTCATTTGCTTTCGAACAGTTTTTCATTAATAAAGCATACAATGTAAGATATATAGAAATTTACATTTTGTGATGAGGTTTTAAAAAAAAATTGTTAAAATACATGAAGATAAAACAGACCCATAGGCCACAATGCTCACCTGAGTTTCTTAAACCCTGCTGTTCTATAAAAGAAAAAATGAATCCTCACAACTTGGGAATGTTTGCAAATTGATAGTTCTATTTTGTATCTCAAGATAAAAAAAAAATCTTTAGTTCCGTGCAATACTTTGATCCTCTATTGTGACCTCACCATACCCCTAGGGGCCTCGAGTTGAACAGTATAGAATCTAAACTACCTCAGGAAGTCCAGTGGTTCTTGAAAAGATTTTTCCTATAAATTTCAATGTAGAACACTCATCCACTATTGTGGCCCTCTCTTACTCCCCAAGGTCATGATTTGAACAATTTAGAATCTACACTATGCCAGGAAGCTTTATCTTGAGTATTTCTTTAGAATTTTTTTTTATAACCCCACCCTATTTGCCTTTTCTTGATTATCTCCCCTTGGAAAGGGGCTTGGCCCTTCATTTGAACATTTTTGAATCCCTTTTACCCATGGATCCTTTTTGCCACATATGGTTAAAACTGGCTCAGTGGTCCTTGAGAAGTCAGAAAATGTGAAAAGTTTATAGATGGATGGACCGACACAGGACAACAGGTGATCAGAAAAGCTCACTTGAACTTTCATCTCAGGTGAACTAACAAATGGCAAGGTAATTGTTCCTTCTAATATCATACAAACTACTATTAAAAATTTTCTAATAAATTTTAGAAGAAAAAAATGATTGTACAAGCCTATAACCATTAACTCCACATTCAGACAGAATCTACAATAAGATATGTTGTCATCTACACCAAATTAATACCTTTTAAGATGTTTTTACACGTATTTAAAATATATATGTTAATATACTGTACACTCATTCAACCTGATATTTATGATTATGTTTTTGAACATTTCAAATATAAGTCCATTATTTATAATAGTAATTTTACAATGTTCATTAGCTCCAAGGCCGTTGCAAGGTTTGGGGGGGGGGGGGGGGGTACGAGGGTTTTGGAGGGTTACCCCCTTACTCCAAGCAGATCTTTTTACAAAAAGGTACAATTTTTGTGGATTATGATATATCTAGTAGTCATTTTCAAATACTAAATAAACAAAATCTAGCTACATTTCTTTAAGCGGATGAAAAATAAATTTACGATAAAGATTTTTTTAAATTTCCTTTCAAAAAAAGATGGGGGGATTGGGGGTTGCACCCAACGCACCTCCCCTTTCGACGGCCTTGAGCTCAACCGATGGAATGTACTTTCAAAATCATATTATATATGATTCATATATTGTATATTTTAAAATGTAAGATAAATATCATGTAATCATTCAAAAACTAGGGAACAAGGAAAAACTAGGGAATAAGTAGAACTTGAGGAAATATAAAAGACCAAAAACCTACAGTATGTCTCTGTCAACTTGTAATAATCAAATGTGTATAATTCAAGCAGTTATGCATGCATTTGTGTGTTAATTTGTTCACAAAAAGTGTGCTGTAATATTATACATTTAATTAAAATTTTAAAAAAAATTGAACACTTTATGAATAAATCATGTAGGAAGCAATTTTACCATGGTAAAGTTCAAAGCAATGCTTAAAGTCCTACTACAGACTAAAAATGGTTTTCTCTAGAGATCTTACCATCATGGCACAAACTCTTCAAAAATCAAAATCATCCAAATAATCACACATCAAAAATTATATCACCATTCTTACAACATACGTCACATCATTTACATGGATACAAAAAAGGATTTCATTCTTTTCCTTTTTCTGATTTTCTCAAGTGAACCATTTGAGCACTGGCTGACTAAAGGTTTTTACCTACAGCAAATGTAAGTATATATTTACATCAAAGCACATTTGTTAAAACCAAGCTATTAAAAGCATATTATAAAGTAAAGGCTCATGACAAACATTTGGTGTAAATAAATAAAAAAAAAAAAATAGAGGTACTAAAAATATTATCTCTGAAAAAAATTTCCCAACAATTTTAAACATAAATAAAACATTCCACATCTCAGATGTCCCAAAAAACATCAGACCACTCACACAAATCAGAAACGAATTATTGCAAATCAATCCATTTGTATAAAATAAATATATAGTTTTTCTCCTAGCTATAATATTAATATTTCTAAATCTACTTTTCTTCTACTGCTGGCAAGTCACCAAAATTCTGTCGCAGCTGTTCGAAGAAAATGAACGTGAATACTGTGTGAGGCCCCAGTCTGACAAAGGCAGGTACAAATCCCTATAATTAAAAGAAGACTTCATGAGTAAGATAAAAAATACCAAATACAAAGCAACCTAATACAAGCAATGAAACTTTATATAATGTGCATATTTGAATTAAAGTTATAAAAGGAAACAAAGACTAATCCATAGTCACAATGCTCATCTGAATTACATTTCCAAACAAATACATTCAAGTATGTATAGTAGTTGAATAAAACGTGTCAATTTGGCCAAAAACCTGTGGCGGTTAGACAGGTTTGATTGCCGGTGGCCAAATAGCTCAGTTGGTAGAGCACCTGACTAGAGATTCAGAGGGCCAAGGTTTGAATCCCCATCTAGCCTGTTGCATTTTTCTCCCTTCCTTTTACAATTGGTGCTGTGCCATGCCCTGGAAGACCTGCCAGGGAAGAGCCTGGGTTAGTGCCATCAGGGCTGAAGACCTATAAGGAGGAAGGAATGTGGTGGTCAGACGGATTCCATTGCTGGTGGCCAGATAGCTCAGTTGGCAGAGCACCCAACTAGTGATTCAGGGGGCCCAGGTTCCAATCAGGGTCTTGTCCATCACATTCTTCTCCCTTCCTGTCACCTAAATCCATTTTTTTCAACAATTGAAGTTTGCTTTACAGTTAGGCTAGATATCAAGTTTAAAAACTGTAGTCTTGTTCTGAAGGAAGTCTAGTATTTCTAGGCAAAACCATGTACCCACTATTGTTGCCCGACTTGACTCAAGCAACTATGACTTGCATAAATCTGAATCTACACTACATTATTACAATGGTGATTATAATACTAGAAATTTAAGTGTAAGCTACTCCCTCGAAAAAGATTTTTAAAGATTTCCTAAATACTCCTTTGTAAAATTTTGACCCCCCATTGTTTCTTCATGACCCTAACACAGGGATGGAAGAACCATACAATTTAAGAATAAAATAAATCTGATATAAAGAATGATTTCATTATAATATTTAAGACTGTGCACCTCCTGTTCTTTAGAAAATGAATTTGAAAGATTTTTACTACTGTATTCCTCTGTAAAACTATTGCCCCTACTGTGACCCTATCCCAGCTCCATAGGGCCAAGATCTGAACAAATTTTAATCTACTGAATCACAGACAAATACTAAATCTAAAGAATCTAATTAAGGAATTCATTTAAATTTTGTAATTTCTGGTTCAGTTGTTCTTGAGATTTTTAAATGAAAACACCCAATTTTCCTATTTCTTAATTAGTTTAGTAATTAGTTCCCCTTGATGAGGGTGTATTTCTTTATTTGAATAATTTTTTATCACTGCTTGTGGCTGATATTGGCTGTTGGTGATTTTGGCAGTGAAGTTGTAAATGTGAAGGAAAAACTTACAGACAACTCATGACAGATGCCAGACAATCTTCAATCAGAAAAGCTTACATTGTACATTCTAATTGCTCAAAAGTAGAGTGAAGGTTTTTGATTATACCTTAAAGAATCCCAAAGGACCATTTTTGCCAATGTCCATGGCACATGCAGCAATTCCCTGTAACAGAAAAATATTAAAGTTTAAATTGCATTTACATGTGTATAACAAAAATACCTAAATTATTTACACTTTGTGTTAAACTGCCAATGTATGTGTACATGACTGTATCTGTGTATGCTACATGTATCTCTTAAAAGAAAATATCACATCTTTTCTCTTCATCAAAGTTTAGACACATGATAAAACTTTAATTTCAATTACTTTTACATAAAATTGTCAGACAAGGAACACCATTCAACTTTGATCTTCAAAATTGGTTAAAGTTCTATCGGTATAGCCCAGAATTTTTTCTCCATGCTTTTCCTTTCCTGGTACTTCAAACTCCTGACACTATAAAGTTTACTTTTTGTATTGTACACTGCCATTTTTATGTGCATGATTGTATTCGTTTTATAACAGTAATTCAAGGCTATATATATGTACCACTAAAGAAGCTTGGGACTTCCAAATCACTTCAACATATCCATGGTATTCGAGATACCGAAGTTTGGCTGTATCTATTTGATTTTTAGACAGGACTTCCTTTTTGTTCTAGAATTTTTTTCTGATTCTTCTATTTTTGTACTCATTTTTAAAACCCAGTTCTCTTTATAAAAACATAATGACTCACAGAGTATGTTCCTGGCTTTGCATTCATCATCCTAGTTTTCATCACATCCAAAGGTTGAGTCAGAAGTGTAGCTATACATCCCTAAAATATATGTCATATTACATATTACATGTTACATATTACATATTACATGAACCATACAAAATTCAGTAAATGTAATTTTCAATCATTAGAAGAAATGATAAAATTACTTATCAGCAAAAAACAAAACAAAAAAAAGCATGGAGAGTAGTCATAATAAAACATCACTTCACTCAAATAACTGATAGGAAAACTTTGCCTAATAAAATGCACCAACGATAAAATTTCTAAAAAAAAAAAAATTAAATATATTTTAAACTAAATTTCATGTCCTCATTTGGATGCATCCACACACTGAAACAGTCCAAGCGTAAAAGAGTGACATAAATTTGTCTTGACTTGCTAACAATAGATGAAAACCAACTGTCGTTTGTGACAATTTTTATTAGTTAATTGCTGATGAAAACCCCTATCCACTGGCATATATATTAAACTTAACCTTCTTTAATAACTGCCACAAAGTAATTGATTTCCCATAACGAACAACTGCAAAAGTTAAAACATTGCACATACACATGTATGTTATTTACACATTATTAAAGGTTGGCTCATTACTGACCTTCAAACTGACAGATCACCATAACATTATTTGGACTGATATATAAATGAACAGACAGGGGAAATATCATAGCACACCCACACATTTTGCTGGTTCCTATAACTATTTAAAGAATAGACTAATTCTGGTTGTACTTACAGCCATTGTACTACATGTGAGATGCAGAGTAATGTTGTCCTCAAATATTCCAGTCAGTAACATCATTTGCTTAATCTGGTCATAACAGGCCAACTAAACAGAGAGAAAAGTATATGATACAAATTAACTTAAATTTCTTGACACAAAACATACAGAGCTTAAAACAAATGCAAATCACATAGTCAAATATAAATTGTTTTTATAAGTACAGTGTTTAAGATTTACAGATCGGCGATTGCTGGACAAGGAATAATTTCATGTTGTAAATTAACAGTAAATTAACACTGACTTTTGTAGTCACTGTGATGTCATCACATACGATGACCTAATAATTAGAGAAACATGCATATAAAACTTAAATGTTTGAAATTCTACATAATCATCACTAGCCTTACCTGTCCCACAGTGACAAGAACTGCTCTTGAACTGGCCATGGTGGCACCCCCAAACATGCGGGGGACTCCCTCATTCCTGTAAACTTTCCACAATCCATCAAAGGCATGTTTGTAGCTATAGTAGGAAATAGGAATAACAAGTCCAAGTATAAAAGTTGGGATACTGCTACTTATCTATCATTAATTTAACATCAGAAAAAAGAAGTACAAAAACTTACTTTCGCCTTTTGTCTGCTGGCAGCTTTACATCATTTTGCATTCTAAAGATATAAATAAAGAATAATTGGAAAATTAGATAGTTTTAGGTCCTTCTTGTAACTTGTGTACAGAAAAGACATAATTTCTATATCATAAAATAGTACATGTACATTGTACATTTCATGAGAGATAAATGACACTATTCTTAACTGACAATGTTGAAATGACACTATGCTTAACTAAAAATTTGTATGCATTTAATATTTAATTACATATACTACATGTATAACTTTCATTTGAAAAAAATACTAAGCAGAGATAATCACAAAGAATGTTATCATTCTTTATGAATTCAAACATCAATGTGATGACTTTACTGTTTTAGCAGATTTTCTCTTCCTAGATCCAAGTTCAGATATTGTCATACACTTTCTTTACCTGACTTTGATAAGTTCAGTTGCTTCCTAATATGGTATTGAAGAGATAAAATGCTGCTTCCTTACTTGAAATTAATGAGATCAGTTGATGTTCCTTAGCTGCATGGAGATCAGCTGGTGTTCCCTACCTGACACTGAAGATTAGCTGGTGCTCTTTACCTGACATTGACAAGATCAGCTGGTGTTCCTTACCTGACACTGAAGATTAGCTGGTGCTCTTTACCTGACATTGACGAAATCAGCTGGTATTCCTTACCTGACATTGAGATCAGCTGGTGTTCCTTACCTGACATTGACAAGATCAGCTGGTGTTCCTTACCTGACATTGACGAGATCAGCTGGTGTTCCTTACCTGACATTGACAAGATCAGCTGGTATTCCTTACCTGACATTGAGATCAGCTGGTGTTCCTTACCTGACATTGAGATCAGCTGGTATTCCTTACCTGACATTGACAACATCAGCTGGTGTTCCTTACCTGACATTGACAAGATCAGCTGGTGTTCCTTATCTGACATTGACAAGATCAGCTGATGTTCCTTACTTGACATTGATGAGATCAGCTGGTGTTCCTTACCTGACATTGACAAGATCAGCTGGTGTTCCTTACCTGACATTGACAAGATCAGCTGGTGTTCCTTACCTGACATTGACGAGATCAGCAGGTGTTCCTTACCTGACATTGACAAGATCAGCTGGTGTTCCTTACCTGATACTGACGAGGTCAGCTGATTTCCCTACCTGATATTGACAAGATCAGCTGGTGTTCCTTACCTGACATTGATGAGATCAGCTGGTGTTCCTTACCTGACATTGACAAGATCAGCTGGTGTAAGTTCCTTACCTGATACTGATGAGGTCAGCTGATTCCCCTACCTGACATTGACAAGATCAGCTGGGGTTCCTTACCTGACATTGACGAGATCAGCTGGTGTTCCCACGAAGCCACCTGTGGCACCTGAGACAGCTGCTGTCAGTACTTTCTGATAGAAAGGCATCGTACCACCATCCTGTGTCAACCTTTTCTTAACTGTCTCATACATAGCAAATCTTGTCATGGAATAAGTTAACTGTTAAAAAAGAAAAAGAACATTCTTAATTTAATATTGTTGAACTAGGTCTTTAAAATAATGAAAAAATAAGAGAGAAGGGGGAGGAGAAAAGTGATTGAGAGAGACAAAGGGTAGAGATGCTGTATTAAAACCCTATTAATAGACTCTAGCGATTAGTCAAAATGATTAAATTTGGGTGGTCTTGAGTCTTTTATTGATATTTGTTACAACATCTTGTTTCTCACAAGAAAATCAATAATTTAATCAGGCTCTAGGATCATAAAATTGACTGAAATTTCAGAAGAAAGTCTCCCAATTAGACTACATTTTTACTATAGCTTACATTTATTAAAATCAAGAAGAAAAGTTTTTACTGTACTGTAATATTATTTTTTAATTATTACATTTCTTCCTAAAAGGAGACACTGTTCCACAAAAAAAGCATACTGATCAAAGAATTTTGAAATACATTTTATTGACAGTCTCTACAATTTTTTTTTTAAATTTTGACAAGCATATTGTATCTACATTTGATTATACTCATATTAAAAAAATTCTAAGCCATATTTAATTTTTAAATATATTTTTAGCAGTTTCTTTGCTTTATAACCAGGAGCAGAAAAGAGTATTTTCAAAGAAATTATGCTTTTTTTTAACTATATAATCAATAGAGTCCCCCCTTTCTAGATTTTAAGAATACTGTTAAATCACTTATTTTCGTGGGGTTTTAATTTTCCCTTGTTTTCGAGGTATGAAGAGACCCATGAATTCATGTCCACCACGAAATGTTAAATGTCATATACATAACTACTCAACAATTCTTCATCCACCAAATCAAATCTCCACAAACCAATATTTTTTCCTCAATCCACAAAAATTTGATGGAGTAAGGAGTTGATGCTTATGTTGCAGGTTCGAATCCCACTGTGGGACATAGAGACCAGTTCTTCAGATGAGACCGTAAAAACCGAGGTCCCATGTCGCAGTAGGTGCTGGCACAAAGAGACCCCTCACTGTTCAATGGCCGAGTGCCGAGTATAGGCCAAAATTTGTAGCTCTCCACCAGCAAGTGGTGGCATCTTCATATGAGTTAAAAATTCTTGAGAGGGACGTTAAACAATAAACAAACAAACAAATAAAAACGAAAATTTGACCCCATGAAAATATGTGATTTTACAGTAAATAATCAAATGAGTCAAAGAATGCTTTGAAAATGTGTTATTCTAGAAAATTTATACAATAATAAAACAAAAGGCCCATGGGCCACATAGCTCACCTAAGCACTTTGGTTAGAGATAAGCAATAATCATTTCAGTACTAAAAAGTTTAAATATATATTAAGTGGTCTCATCCTTACTCTGATGATTTGAACAACATTGCTTCCATATTAATATGACTACTCATGGTTTTGCTGTTCTTGAGAGGAAGATTTCTGAAGATTTTTTCCTATATATTCCAATACAAACTTTGATTGCCTAATTTGTCCCTGTTGTAACCCCAGGGGTCATCAAATTTGAATCTACTCGATACATTACCTGAGAATGCTTCCATATTAATACTAATCATGGCTTTGCTCTTCTTAAGAAGATGATTTTTTTTTTTAAGATATTTTCCATAATCCTATCAATAACTTTGATCCCCTGATGGCCAAACTCTACCCCTACCCCTAGGGGTCATGATTTGAACAAACTTGAATCTATACTATGTAATGAAACTTTCATGTAAGTTTCAACTTTTCTGGCCCATTGATTTTTGAGAAGAAGGTTTGTGAAATTTTCACTAATTCTAAATTATCTTCTCTTGAAAGAGGGTGTTATCCTTCATTTGAACAAACTTGAATCCCCTTTACCCAAGTACGCTTTGTAGCAAGTTTGGTTCAAATTGGTCCAGTGGATCTGGAGAAGAAAATGAAAATGTGAAAAGTTATATAATGACAATGACAACAGATTAATTTTGATAAGAAAAACTCATTTGAGCCTTTGACTCAGGTAAGCTAAAAGTTTAAAATGTCAAATTCTACACTGAACTTCTGGAAAATTTGTATACTGGATCTTTTTCAGTGCTTTCTCTCTTAAAATATGTATTAAATATTGAATACAAGTTCTTTGGGTGTGATTTCATTTGAGACCACTAAAATCATTTTGTATCAACTTGGATTACTATACAGTATAAAAGAAAAAGTCCATTTGTAATTATGTTGTATAATTGTACAGGATGTTAATGAATTTTAGCAAATCATATATATATTCATCCGATATATTCCTTAGTATATCATTACCTGTCTACAAATGGAAGCAGACAATCCATTATATAAACCTAGAATTCCATCTGATTTTAAAATTCGTACAACCATTGTTGTTGCTTTGACTTTCTCTAGTTGCTGAGTTTGGAGATGTACCTGCAGAGAAATGAAAGATGGGAGAGCTTAGTGTAAATTTCACATGGAGATTTATGCAAATTTCTAATCAGGTTATGTATATCAAGTTTTGAGCATTCCCTTATTTTGGGGATAGGTCTAGTTAATGTTCTTGTTCCTCATTGGCATCATTCAGTCATCCTGAAAAATGTACAACCCTCTCTTGCTATTACATTACAAAAGAAATTTTTGAGTGTCATTATTGCTCTTTGTGTCAACAAATAATGGATGCAATTTGCTGTGTAATTTTTTCTTTTTATCTTAAAATACAATACAAGCTGTAAGTTTCTGATCTTATTAACAAAATTATAAACTACCGTACCAACATGTCTGTTATATAAATGTTTAGGTTTTTGTATATATTTGAAATCCAAAATGCATTTCTTAAAGAATCTAAATAAATACAATTGTTTTATTGCATTACATATACATATATATACAGGTTTGAGACAATTTTGACTATGTGGCTTGAATAACTACAAAGCTTGATTTAGGTATTCAAAAAAACCTCGATTTAGCTCTTCAAAATACTAGTTGCTTGCATGAGTTTAGCTATTTTATCATACTTTTTTCATAAATGTGCTTTTTTGCAGCATGTAAAAAAAGTTGTATTTTGGTGCAGAGATAGTTTTTCTTTGCACTGCTCTGAAAAACCATGTCTCCTTCATTACCTTTACACATAGAGTTCTAAAAGTTTTGGGGCTATATAAAGCAATTGATTTTTGACCATACAGTTGCTTCTTGAATTAAATTATAGAGCAGGTCAATTTTTTTCAACAAAATGATTGGTAATAATTCAGAATAATGTTAAGGAACTATACTTATCCATGCCTCTCCGTATACAAGGTGGTGTACATGTACCCAAACAATGGAAATACATAAGTGTTCAAAATCAGAAATGTTTTAACTATCTCAGTATCTGTTATTTAACAGTCTATAGCACTGTATAGCACATATAACCTGCGAGTTATTTCTTATGAAAGCACATTAGTGAAAAACTCTAAATATTTCTGTCAATTTATTTTGAATAGCTTAATAAAGATATATCAACTGTAAGCTAAATAGCTAAATCAAGGGATTATGTCGAACCTGAATTTCCGCATTAGGGAGGCTTCAGGCTTGCTACTGTAAATCTCTACACATTACTCACCTTGAGTAAATCTAAAGGATGAGTACAGCATGCAGCCATTGCACTGGCTACTCCTCCAAAATACCATCTCCCTATTCTCTTTGATTTGTCCGTCATTTTTGTTGTAATATAAGCCAACTCAGGTTTGCATTTTGTTCAACACAACTCGTCACGTTCCAAGGTTGACTTTAGAGTAATGCACCTTTAACACACATTCGTACCTCCATACATTGAAGAGTCGAAAGGGGCAATCGGATTACCTCGCCCTTTTCCGTCGCTTTTTCTACTGTGCGACGGAAAAAGGCGAGGTGATCCGGTTGTCGAAAGGGGGTATCTCCAAATACAAAATATTTAGTTGAATCCCTGATCCGCTCCCAAAATGTCAGATGTTCTGCAGTTAACATGTTAAAGAATAATGTTTTTGACATATTTCTTATTGCCTTTTGCTGAAGATAAACTGATCATCTTTGGTAAGTCTGTTTATGTAGTTTATTGTAATTCATTTTTATTCAGGTAAAAATATCACAAAATATAAGGACAAAACATATTTATACGGATAGAAACCTATCTCAGCACTATGCAATTTGACACGCTTAAAAATTTTTAGACTCATATATATCTATATAAATTTTATGACTTTTCGACTATAAATCTGTATGTTACCCAGGCCCGTTGCAACAGTTTCAAAAAAACAGGGGGGTCCCCAAAAACTCTGACAAGCAAAAACAAACAAACAAAAACAATAAAACAAAACAAAAAAACTCAAAAATAAGGGAGAGGGGGGCTTTCAAAATAATTTGACAAGCCAAAAAAAAAATGTTCAATTTCTGGAATTTGCTAGTGCTCGTCTTTACAGCCAGCAACAAAAACAAGGGACAGGAGAGCCTCTAAATGAAAATTTACTACAGCAAAATACTAACTGAGAAAAAAGGGGGAGCTCCCCCTCCCCGCCGTTCTACGGGCCTGTTACCTAAGGAAGCCCATAGATGCCATAAAAGCTTAATAAGCTTATTTCCAAAGGGTTCCTTATATAATACTTACATTTATTGTATAGTTTTTAAATTATCACTTATTCAGCATTGATTTATTCATGTGCATATACATGAACATATGCATGTAAGCAAATAGTTACGCATATTTTATAATTTAATTTTTGGAACTACAATGTATACTCAACCACTTCTGCATCATTCTTTGAACAGAAAGGTTCCCTCTTTCCCTACGGAGTGACACAAATGGGGAAAATCTGACTGAATTGTTTCGTGAATCGTTCTGAATACCCCGGGTACTTAGATTTATATTGCAATTGATAGTGTCACTCAAAGAGAAGATTAAAGCTTAAGATATCAGAAAGTTTTGGGGTTTTTTTTCACAGAAAGAAGTGAGCAACATGAAGGTGAATGAGGGAATCTCTCAAAGAAGCCAAGAAACTGAACTGCAAAATAAGTCATATATGGAAGGCTTAGGCTGCACAATTTTGCACGTCCTAGTAACTGTTTTAAGTAGGTCCGTGTAACACTTAATAGTTCAAATTTCTAAACTGATTTAGACTTTTACAATTTTAAAACATTAGTTCAAATTTCTAAATTTAAAAAACTCAAACTGATTTCGAATATTGAAATTTAATATTTAAGTTCAAAAACCTGAACTTTCAATTTTCCTAACAGGTTTAAAATTTTAGTTTTTAGATTTTTACCTTAAATATTCAAAATTCAAATTCCCAAAAACGATTTTGGCATTTTAAACTTTTGAGTTTTTAATCCATGGTTTGTTCAGGAAGTTTATAGAAAATTTTGACCCATTAATTTGGCCCTCTCCCTACGCTCTGGGCCATGATTTTCAAAGAAAATTAATTTGCACTATCCGTGAAGACGCACACTTATATGAATAATCACTGCACAGTGGTTCTCCAGAAGATTTTTTTAAACGATTCTCTTTATTTATTTTCCAATGTACCCTTATTGTGGCCCTGCCCTATGCCCGGGGACAAAGATTTGAACGAACTTGAACCTGAGTTACTTTAGGATGTTTGCATATTAATATGACTAATCATGGTCCTGCAGTTCTTTAGAAAAATCTTTTAAAGGAGGTTATTAACACAGTACATGTACCATGTAAAACTAATCTTTTTTGTGGCCCAACCGTGCCAGGGGCTATATGGTTTGTACAAACTTAAATATACACAAGGTCAAGAAGCTTATACATACATAACGCTTCGAACGGCTTTTTACCCAATGTTTCTTGATGTGAAGATTTTTTAAATGACACACCTTCCTGTTTCTCGATCTTGATAACTGTAGCCCCTCGAATAGCGATGTGGTTCTTTATTTCTCCTTTACTCACAGATACTGTGGGGTCAAGTTTGGTTGAAAATGGTCTAGCACTAGTGGCTCTGGAGAAAAGGTCGAAAAGGTAAAAAGGTAAAATAAAGATGGACACACAAACGGAAGGACGACGGAAAATTTTGAAAAGAAAATCTCACTTAAACCTTTTTGCTTCGGTGAGCTAAAAACTTCTTTTTTTTCCCTTATAAGATGATGATTTGTTGTTCATCGTGACATTGTTAGACAACGTCGAAATTCGGTCTATAGTTATATGTTTTGTAAAAATCTTGGAAACACTCCGATTTAAACGCTATATACTACTTATACAGGCAGGACAAAAATACAGTAAGCAACTGGTTTTCCAGTGGCGTGAGAAATTTAAGGAAAATGGAACTTCCATAGAGGTTGATTAAAGGTGTGGCCGTCTTTTGGAAGGTCATTTTTTTTCCTCACAGACAAATTAAGCGTTAATGAATGTGGACCGCCAACGTAATATGCTTGACATTGCTACTGAAATCAGAACATCCTATAAATGGAAAGACGGGGAGTATTTTGAAAAATTATTGTAATATGAAGATTAGTGGGTGCGAGAGGATACCCAGGCTATTCTTAATCACAATGAAATTTTAGAAAGAAATTCCACGAACTTTTGGATCAACCCTCGTATATAAGAAAATAAAAGATGCTTCAATTATTTGAGTTTATTTTAATATTGAGCTCCATAAGTAAAGGTGTGTCCCTAAAACACTGCCTCTACCCATCATCAAATTTCAAACAATTTAAATACGCACCCGATCTTTTTTATGTTTGTTATTTATATTTATAACTAATTTAAATAAAACTTTTCTTTAGCAGAATTCTGTAAATCTCTCTTTCTCCCTCTCTCTCTCCTTTCACGGTTTTCACGCTCTATTGACCAGCAATGATCACGTGAGCTGACCCTGAATGAGAATTCCTCACACTGAGATTGTAAGCCTAGCTGACATTATCAGTGATCTGCATTTGCTTCTGCAAAAGCCTTCCAAGCAATCTTTCAAAGCATTCTTTCATCAGTAAAAGTCACAGAAGAAGATTACTTCAGACTGAGGTAAGTTTATTTTTGTTGTTATCATTAATTTGTGACTTTATACAATGTTTTTGTTGAAAACGTGAACATCAGTGAGTACTCGAATGTTCCCGCCGCCAATTCAGGTCATTGTCAAATTATTTAGCCATTCACTGAGACTGATATTACTATATGAAATATTTGTTAACATTATCCATACATTGAAAGTTAAACGTATTTTAATAGTTTTGTGTATTTTATACAGTTTAAAAATATATAAGGATGCAATAATAGCGGAAAACATCATGCATAATGACTGCGCATGCTCGGGGGGGGGGGGGTAGAATTCAAAATAAATTTCAGGTGACCAAAACATGTTTATTTCAAAAACAATAATAACAAAAGTCAACATTGCTCATGTAGCGCCGTGCTTATAGTTATTCTAGAGTTGGGTTTTTTTTTTTATGTATAATGAAGGCACATATATTTGTAGTATCATTTTTTAAGGGAAGACGGGGGGGGGGGGGGGGGGGATGTGACAATTTACTTGATAAAACTTTGAGAAGCATTATAAATAAATTAAAAAAGAAAGAAAAATTGTCCACACTTGAAAATCCTATTTTTGAGGAGAGTATGAAAAATTAAAACTTACTTGAAAAAAAAAACAATTTGAGAAGCAAAATTAGAAAAAAAGAAGGAAATTGTCCAAATCCAAAATTACATTAAACATTGCTCTGATTTGACTATAGTGCAACAAGGGGGTACTGTAAATCACTTTTAATTCACTAGAACTTTATTTCTGCGTAATTAATATGCAGGACTGCCTTTTTGTGAAAATTCAATTCTGTTTAAAGCAGAGTGGGAGAGAGAGAAGTGGACAGGGCTAGGATTGAGCAGTGAATTTACAGAATCATGTAAATATAAGTAATGACTGTCAGTTTTTAGCTCACCTGATCCGAAGGCTCAAGTGAGCTTTTCTGATCACATTTTGTCTGTAGTCCGTCTGTCCGTCTGTCTGTCTGTCTATCAGTCCGTCCGTCTGTAAACTTTTCACATTTTTGACTTCTTCTCAAGAACCACTGGGCCAATTTCAACCAAACTTGCCACAAAGTATCCTTGGGTGAAGGGGATTCAAGTTTGTTCAAATGAAGGGCCACGCCCTCTTTCAAGGGGAGATAATGAAGAATTAGTGAAAAATTAGTAGCATCTTTTAAAAATCTTCTTCTCAAGAACCACAAAGCCAGGGAAGATGAAACTCATGTGGAAGCATCCTCAGGTAGTGTAGATTCAAGTTTCTTCAAATCATGACCCCCAGGGGTAGGGCGGGGTCACAGTGGAGGATCAAAGTTTTACATAGAAATATATAGGAAAGACCTTTAAAAATCTTCTTCTCAAGAACAGCAAAGCCATGATGAGTCATATTTATATGGAAGCATCCTCAGGTAGTGTAGATTCAAGTTTGTTCAAATCATGACCCCCGGGGGTAGGGCGGGGCCACAATGGAGGATCAAAGTTTTACATAGAAATATATAGGAAAAATCTTTAAAAATCTTCTTCTCAATAACAGCAAAGCCATGATGAGTCATATTTATATGGAAGCATCCTCAGGTAGTGTAGATTCAAGTTTGTTCAAATCATGACCACCGGGGGTAGGGCGGGGCCACAATGGAGGATCAAAGTTTTACATAGAAATATATAGGAAAAACCTTAAAAAATCTTCTTCTCAAGAACAGCAAAGCCCTAATTGGTCATATTTATATGAAGCATCCTCAGGTAGTGTAGATTCAAGTTTGTCCAAATCATGACCCCTGGGGGTAGGGCGGGGCCACAATGGAGGATCAAAG